AACTAGCATTTTTATTTGTTTATGAACTCTTCACTTCTTGTTTTCATCGATTTGTACTTTTACCTTTACTATTTCCTTCCTTTCATCAATTTTATTTTTCTATTTCTAACATTTTAATTTTTATTTTGACTCTTTCTATTCACATCTAAGATGGGATTTTCATCTGATCACCATTTTCGCTGTATTCCATAGATCCTGGAATGTTGTTTTCCTTATCTTTGTCCTTTAGAAGGTCTGCGATTTTGGATTGCATTTCTCTTGAGAGGTTTTAATTCACCAGAAGGATCCGTTTAACAAGTGAGTCATTAGTTACTAGTTTTGTTGCTTTGTGATCAGTAAGTGATGTTTACAGTATTTTTACTTTAAGGAAGTCCTTGGTACTTCCTTTGTGACCTAACATTTGGTCCATTTTTATGAATGTTCCATGAGTGACTAAAAAGATGCTGTGCTCTCTATTATTAAGTTGTAAATTTATATATATATATATACACACACATGAACTCTACCTTCCATATTTCATTGGTTTTATATTTTCACTTTAAAAAAAATCTACTTGACCTGCCTTAGACTGAAAACGATACATTAAACTCTCCTAGCATGAATTACTCCTACTGTCCTCACATCTTCTGTAGTTTTTTCTTTCTAACTGGTGGTCGCTAGACTCTGGGGTATGTGTATTCACATCTGTTGCATTTTCAATAGTAGCTTTCATATTGCAGAACATTCTTCTTTGCAACATTTGATTGTGTGTGGGGGGTGAATTCTACCTTGTAAAATATCAAGATTACAATCTTGCTTCTCTCTTTCTTTCTGCAATAAGTCCCCTACATAAAAATGCATTCTATTCTGAGAGCATGGTTATGGGTTCAATTTGTTTATAAATCCAACAAAGTTAGCCTAGTCACCCAACTAACAGAATTGGCAGTACAGTACTGTACTGTAATAGGTTTATAGTACTTTCACACAAATAATAGACAAAACATGCAAACACAAAAGATAGGGAAAATATTTTTCATCTTACGGTAGAGTACCTTGAGAAATACAGTAGTTCAATTCAGCAGCTGGCACGGAGGGGCTGGCACTGAGTGAGCAGTCAAGAAGGGTTTCTGACTGAAGGAGGGAGAGGAGGTGGGAGGGGATGGAGCTGAAGGGTCGTCAGCAACGGGAGACGGAGGGCCCGCTGCTGTTTCACACTTGGTGCTGATGGAATGCATGTTTGCGTCTTTGAAAGTTTGCAGCTTGAAGGTTCATAAGTAGGAGGTTTACTGTATTTGCCTGACTTTTGCCTAACTGCATTCTTATTATTTTAGCCTTTCTGAATCACTTTATGTGTGTATCTTGTATACCTTTTCTTGGGGCCGATTTGAAAACCTTTTAAAGTTGAAATAATCCTGCTTGCATTTGTTGAAATGACTGACATGCTTGATTGTGTCTCTGAAATATGAATAGCATTAGAGGATGTATTTTCTGGGTCTCTTTCTATACACAGTTGGTTTTCTTTTTCATGTAAAATAGACGTCCTCTAGCATTGACAACATTCCATCTGTTTGCTGTGATAACCCTTAGGTTAATCTCCTCCTTAAAGCCCAGAGTCCCCTCTGCCTTCACAGGCTTCCTCTCTGGTGGGTCAGCCTTGAAAGGGTACCTCTGGCTCCCACTTCCTATTGATATGACTATCAGTGAGCCCACCTCACGGGCCCCTTTTCTTTCTCCCTTGTGTCTTTTTATTTTCCCCTGGAATATATAACATACACACACAACCATCTAGCATCTTCCTAAAGGCCTTAAAGGAAGGCGGTGAGTCTTGAGTTTATTCAGTTTGGAGCATCTTCTTTTACTGGCCCAGGCACCTGGGAGTCACAGGAGGCAGGGAAGAAGTGTGTGGAGCCTCTCTGGTTTTCTCTGTCCAAGAGCACCTGCTTCTCCATATCTGGCGAGAGGGGGTGCATGGTACGTTTGGTGTATCTCCCACTTGTTAAAAAGCTTCTGTCACTTGCTCGATTTGCCTCCACAGCAGCCTCATTGCCTGGCTTCTTCTCTAGCCTTATCCCCCCTCGTCCCGGTGTCCTCCCCCAAGTCAGCCCTGCTCTGGAGAACCTGTGACTCCCGCGCTGGGCACTTTCCATCCACACGTTTCTTATCCACTTTGTTTGACTTCTTCAGGGCCCGGGGCTCTGAGCCTGCAGATCCTCTGTTCTCAGGACTCCCTCTCAGGTGGGGCCTCTCTCTCCACGGCTCCTCTCTCCCTTCCCAATGCAGAGTCTACCCCGGGGGCGAGGGGGCACTGGGAACTGCGGACATGGGTGTCCATTTCCTACTCACTGTTCCTCTGTCCTGCTGGGCTGGGGGCAGGGTGGGGCTTTAAGGAACTTCTCCTCTTTGTGCGCGGACCTCTGGTGGGTCTGGGGTGTGCAAAGACCCGGATTCAAGCATCTGCTACTACTGCTTTGGAATCAAAACTCTCCTTTCTCTTTTTATGCAAAGTTTCTTTTCTGCAGAGCTGTGATCATGCTGCAAGTGACCCTGTGTGGGTCACTTCCCACTGTCATAGGCATTTTTTCATATCACTGCACCCTGCAAAAATGGCTCCCATGGATTTGTAATATTTCTTTCAATGGATTGAATTACTCATTTACCAAATTGTCCTTCTGTTGTTGTAAGTGTTCAGTCACTAAGTCATGTCCAGCTCTTTGCGACCCCATGGACTGCAGCATGCCAGACTTCCCTGTCCATCACCAACTCCCGGAGTTTACTCATAAACTCATGTCTATAGAGTCAGTGATGCCATCCAACCATCTCATCCTCTGTCGTCCCCTTCTCCTCCTGCCTTCAATTTTTTCCAGCATCAGTGTCTTTTCCAATGAGTCAGCTCTTCGCATCAGGTGGCCAAGGTATTAGAACTTCAGCTTCAGCTTCAGTCCTTCCAATGAATATTCAGGACTGATTTCCTTTAGGATGGACTGGTTTGATCTCCTTGCTGTCCAAGGGACTCTCAAGCGTCTTCTCCAGCATCACAGTTCAAAAGCATCAATCTTCAGCATTGAGCCTTCTTTATGGTCCAACTCTTAGGTTTTTCTTCATTTAGAGTTATTTCCTTAGCTTAGATTTCCAATAGTCAGTAAATTGGTAAAATAATATAAAATGTTTTTAGGTTCTTTATACAGATTTCAGGGCTTCCCTGATAACTCAGGGTAAAGAATCTGCTTGCAATGCAGGCGACCTGGGTTCAATCCTTGGATCAGGAATATCTCCTGGAGAAGGAAATGGCAAACCACTCCAGTATTCTTGCCTGGAAAATCCCGTGGATGGAGGAGCCTGGCAGGCTACAGTTTATGGGGTTGTAAGAGTCAGACATGACCTTGAGACTAAACCAAACCAACACAGCTTTCAAACCTTTCTCTAAACTCTCATATCACTGTGAGCCCCCACCGTCTGTCTGGATGCCCGTCGGCAGTATTTGGGCCGTTGCTTGCCTACTGTGCTGACTCTGCTGTCAGTTTGGCACGCGTCCCCGAGTGGCCCTCGGTACTGGTCAGTGTTGGGTTGGCCGCAAGGTAGGGTGACGCAGCAGCACCCCCAGTGTTCCCAAGGCTGATGAGGGGGCCAGGCACACACAGGAAGCCCCCAGGCTGGCGGATATGTTAGACCCAAAGGAAAGTTCCGGGTCAGCGTCCCTGAGCCCTGGGCCATGGGAGCACTGCTCCATGTGGGGCCCCAGCTCCTCCCACAGATCTGAGGGTGGGGGTGGTCAGGAGAAATCGCAGGTGCCCTTAACCCGGATGGATCCTGACTCATCCTCACTCGCTCCCATTCGGGGCCAGCTTTCCTTCCCGACTACCAGTCTGAAGATCTGACGTGACTCAGGCTCCAAACCAGACACAGAAGCAATGCTCTGGGTTACATCCTCTGCCTGCAGGCTCAGCTATGGACGGTCTGATCCTGGGAATGAACCTGGGCCTATCCATCCCAGTGGTTCTGCTCTCTGGACCAAACATCGACTGTACTGCCTACCCTCCTTAAAGGTGGGTGTCCGGAGGGACTCGAACATCACAAGTGCGTGTAAAGCACAGTCGTGGGGCTGCAAGAGGCCACAGGTAACTGTGGTCCTGGGGACAGAGGGATGGGCAGGGCTCAAATCAGAATGCCCTACACACATTGCTCTTCACTCCTGACCCTGAGCATGACCCTTCCACTTGCTGAGCATCTGGGAGGCGCGTTCTGTGTCTTCGCAGCCTGCGTCCCCTCCTCAATCTCCACATGGTCTCTAATACACTTTGCTGTTGTTCAATCATTAATGGTGTCCAACTCTTTGCAACCCCGTGGACCACAGCACGCCAGGCTTCCCTGTCTAATACACAGCAGCCGCTAAATATACATTTGTTGGCTACTAGTCTGTCTGCCTCAACTCTCCCCTCCTCTCCCCAAAGTTAGTCTGAGACCCCTGGGATCTTCTTCACCTGCTTCGAAATGAACAGAGAAACATCCATCATGACCACAGGGTTTGGGGAGAGTAATGAACCACTTAGCGCCTAATGGTAACTGATGGAACACCGACCGCAAAGACTGGAGATGATGTGTGCTATGCAGTAAGTGGGAAACAAAATATTTATTGCAAAGTTTTTTAAAGTGTCATTCTACTTGCAAATGTGGTGCTGCAGACATATGTCAGCGGAGTTTGCCTCCAGCACAAAGAATGCCAGCGCACAGAAATATTTTAATTTGAGCTAGAGTACGGATCCCAGCTGACAATTTCACAATGGGTCTCGGAGCTTCCATATGCTGAGGGCGAAGACGGAGCTCTTGCCTTCACTCCAGACGTGGAAAGCAAAGCGAGCGTGCACAAAGCGCGTACTGCGAGCCAGTGGAGGGATTTGTATTTCATTTTGGGGTGCGCTCACAAGAGTGCTGGGAGGGCGCCGTCCCTGTTTCCACCCAGGAACACAGAGGGAGAACTCATCTGAATCTGCACAGTTTGTGAGCTGCAGAGCTGGGATTCCATCTCAGAGCTGTCGGATGATAAAGCCACTGTCGATTTTACTTATGCACAGACAGGCAAGGCTGCTCTTGGCGGGGGGAGGCACAGCGCATTCGGGGTCGGCATCTGTGTTTATGGTCCCCTGGGGGCAGCTGGTTACAATGGCTAGACAAAGAGAGAACCGGGAAGAGGTCTCCAGCCAGGAAAGGAGCAGGGACCGTCTCTCCTCCACGGAGGGATCGGGTCTTGTCCCAGGCAGGGGCTGCGGGCTCTTGGGCGCGACAGCCCCATCCAGCTTGCGTGAGTTGGCAGTGGGGGCTGTGGACGAGTCTCACCTGTTTGGGTGCTGGCTCTCCTACTCCCTGGGTGGCCTGGACAAGTCACACGGCTGCCTGGGGCATCTGCCTCCTTGCCTGCACAGTGGGACGCTCACAAGGGTTTCTCTGAGGACCACAAAGGGCCCTGGCTGTGCGCCTTGCAGAGGCGGAGCCCTGAATGGGTATCATTCAACTCGACGTTCAGCCCCACGGAGGTCTCAGGGCAGGGAGGGCAGCACTGTACTTGCAGGGCGTCAGCGGAGCCCAAGGGGAGACGCAAGAGATGCTTCACGCGGCAGCCTCTGCGGAAAGCCATCTTCAAGGTCACAGTAGTGCCCCGTCTGCAGACGGACGCTCAGACCCGCCTCTGGACCGTTGTCTCTGACCACCTGCTCCCCTCCATCCTCAAGCCCTCAGCCAGAGCCAGCAGACCCCCTGCCCAGAAGACGTCATCCACAGCAAACATTCTCGTGTGTCAGCCCAACACTCTCATCTTTGAATTTACCTTGCACTCCAAGGAGCTTCAAGATAAATTCCCTCCCAAATTATTTTTCTATTTTCATCTCAGAAACCTGTCTGAATCTTCCCTTTCTGTTTACCTTCAGACTATTAAGGGTTCTTACCTTGGGATTCAGGAAATTCATGAACCCATGAAAGTAAATGTAAAATTCAGCATATGTGTATGTGTGAGATTTCTGGATGGGGAATTCTCCCTAGCTTTCATCAGATTTTCAACAGCAAAGAATACTGCTATGAAAATTTCCTAATTGTACATTTTGCTCAGTCAGTGTGGCCCCTTATGTCTCCTGGGGTGCAGGCAGAGAAGGAAGCTTACCTAGATCAGTAACAAGGAGGAATCGTGTGTGTCGGGCTCAGCCGTCCCACTGCAGGCAGACTCACCTGTGATGCTGGGTTTGTCCTTCAGCTTGTCCTTTGGCCAAGTTAGGTGAAGGGAGCTGGGTGCCCTGAGAGTGTGGTTCTCAAAGTGTAGCCCCCCACTCGGCAGCCTCATCCAGGATGTTGTCAGCAAAGCAAACTTTGGGGCCCACCACAGAGGGGCTGAATCAGAATCGCAGAGCAGGGCGTCAGGGCACAGAGCAGCAAGCCCTCCGCCGCCCGGGTGACGGCCGGGTGAGACCGGAGCCCCACTCGGGCAGGGGGCAGGGCGAGCCGCAGAGGCATGTGGGCTGCTTCTCACGGCCAGCCGGGGCCGCACTGATCTGAGCGATCACACGCTCCGCGACCTCTTTCCCATTCTTAAATGCTGACAAGCCATCTGCTTGTTTGGCCTTTGCCAGGCATTTGTTTTTATAGTTAATATCAGTGGATTGAAGCGATGTAGGCAGAGAAAATTATTTTCATATTTCAATCACATTACAAATGAGGTGCAGCAAGGAGAAGCTGTGTTCCCTGGAGGCGCTGCTCTCTGCAGAGCAAACATAATCCATTTTGCTCATAAGCACTTGTCGGTGAGCGGAAGGGCTCCACGTCAGGGGCTCTGCTTGTCGGTGACGGCACTGCCTCTGCCAGCATCTCCAAGGCTGAGACGGTGATGTCCTCCTTTGGGCTTCGGTTGTGTCTGCTGATGGCCTGTGAGCCTTGAAGTATCTTAAGAGCAGGAGGGTCAGGGGCAAGGTTGAAGCACCCACAGAGACCCAGGCAGATGTCCAGAACTCAGACAGGGGCTGTCTGAGCCAGTCTGGGTACCATTGAGCCTTCTCTTGCCCCTCAGATGGAGGCTTCAACCCCCAGCAGAGCCTCCTCCCCATAGGCCTGTCTGGATTCCAGACAGATCAAGTGAGCAAGTAGGGGCTTCTCTTCCAAAAGAAGAAAATAATGATATTTGGATCATATATGGAGCTTTTCATCTTCAAAACAGTTTCACACCCGGAGCTGTAAAAATGAATGCAAACTTGTAAATGTAACACCATAAAGATGCCCAGTAATTATGAATGGGCCGTAAGTAAAATTAAATTGTAGTGCTGAGAGAAATGTTATTTTCATGCTTAGGAAACCTTAGTTACAGACCAACTATAGAAAATATGGCTCATATATTTAAGGTCTGTATTTTAAAATAACAGTCGGTTGTGCACGCGCATCCCTGACCAGCCTCCAGAAAGGAATTAACTGACTGTGTTCTAGTGACCTCAGGAAGGATCTGAGTTTCTGTTTTCCCTCCCACAGTCCACAGCCCTGCAGGACCCCACCATCCTGTTCCTCCTGTGAGTGATCATTAAGGTTGTTTTTCCTTCTTTACGACAGTGCTCTCTAAAGGGAACAGGAGAAAAATCATTGCTTTTGCTGACAATTCCATGTCTAAGAATTTAGAAAATTTTACATAGAATCTGCCTATTGCATACACATGCTAAGTTGCTTCAGTCATGTCCGACTCTTTGCAACCCTATGGACTGTAGCCCACCAGGCTCCTCTGTCCATGGGATTCTTCAGGCAAGAAATTGGAGTGGGTTGCCATGCCCTCCTCCAGGGGATCTTCCTGACCCAAGGATCGAACCCAAGTCTTCTGCATCTCCTACCTTGGCGGGCATGTCCTCTCCCACTAGCGCCACCTGGGAAGCCCACGGCGCTGACTAGAACCCTCCAGAGAGACTCAGCTGCGTGAGCTCTCCAGGACGGAGTAAAAGGACAGGGGTTTCTCTGAGGACTATTGCCAACAGGACAAGAGCACATGTGAGGGTCTCGGCAGCTCCAGTAGATGAGACCCTTGCACATTACCTGCGTGTCCTGAAGCCTGACTCAGGGCCTCTGGAGGCTCTTGAGATCTGTAGAGGGCAGGGGGAGTGCAGTCTCTGCCAGGCCCTATGTGTCCCTGTGAGTGTGTGTGCATCTGTGTGTCACTCAGTTGTGTCAGACTGTTTGTGACCTCATGGGCCGTAGTCTGCCAGGCTCTTCTGTCCATGGAATTCCCCAGGCAAGAATACTGGAGTGGGTTGCTATTTCCTCCTCCAGGGGATCTTCCCCACACAGGGAGAGAAACCTGTGTCTCTTGCATCTCCTGAATTGGCAGGTGGATTCCTTACCACTGCACCAGCTGGGAAGCCCTGTGTGTTTCTGGGGACATGGAAATGAACTTGAGAAAGGCACTCTCCTCAGAAAGCTCAAGGCTAACATTCAGACAAACAAATAAAGAAAAGTAAGTGCATTATTACATTATTTACACCATGCATGAGGTTTAAACCAGATGCTAAAGGAACAAGGAATGTCCTATAGGTGAGGGCAGGTCTGCAAAGGGTGCGGTACCTAGGCCAGGGTGAAACAGGAAGAAGAGTGAGGTATCAGTCTGAGAGTCCTCCTAAACCGGCGTGCTGATGCAAGTCCCTCACTAAAATTAATCAGATTAATGAAATCTGTACTCAATATAATTGTAGACAGCTGCAAAATCCTGATGAAGGAAATCTAAATAAATGGATATATAGTCATTGCTTATGGACTAGAAGACTAAATATTGTCAAGATGATGATTCTTCCTAAATTGGTCTCTAGATGAAGCACAACCTCATTCAAAACCTGCTCTGAAGTTTATATGATGAGTTAAAAGACCAAGACTAGTCAATGCAACACTGAGGAAGAGCAAAACTGGACAGTGTCTGACAAGAGAGTTATCAAGACAGAACACTTGGTGCAAGAACAGAGGAGGATCAATGAAAGAAAATAGAGAGCCCCAGATAAACTCACGCAAATAACAAGTACAGCCAGCTGACCTTTGACCGAGGAGCAAAGGCAATTCAAAACAGAAAGGATAGTCTTTTCAATGAAAGATGCTGGAACAACTGGACACCAAAAAGTGAATCTAGACACAGACATGACTTTCTCAAAAAACTAACTCAAATGTATGATAAACCTAAATATGAAGAGTGATGCTATAAAATATAGAATAAAACGTTGAAGAAAATCCATGTGACCTTAGGTATAGCGACAAGTCTGCAGAAAATACAAGCACACGATCTATGCAAGTAAAAAATTGATAAGCTAGACTATATTAAGATTTAAAAATTCTGTTCTTTAAAAGAAACCATTAAGGCAAAGAAGAAACAAGCCACAGACAGGGATAAAGTATTTGAAGCACAGGTCTGATAAAAGATGATATCCAAGATATAGAAAGAACTCTGAAAACTAGACAATAGAAAACAAACAACACAAATATGGGCAAAAGAGCTAAACAGACACCTCACCAGAACCAATACAAGATGCAAATCAGCACATATGCAGAGAGGCTTGGCATCATTTCCCATCAGTGAATTACAGATTACAGCAACAGTGAGGTACCACCGCATACATCAGAGCGGCTAAGATCCAAAACTGACAGTATCAAGTGCTGATGAGGATGCAGAGCAACAGGAAGTTGTCCATTGCTGGTGGGAATGTGAAAGGAACAGCCACTTTGAAAGACAGTTTAAGAGTTTCTTGCAATACTATATGGGCTTCCTTGGTAGATCAGTAGTAAGGAATCCACCTGCAATGCCAGAGTTGCACGAGACCCAGGTTTGATCCCTGGGTCAGGAAGATCCCCTGGAGAAGGGCATGGTAACCCACTCCAGTATTCTTGCCTGGAGAATCCCATGGGCATAGGAGCTTAGCAGGCTATAGTCCATAGTTTCACAAAGAGTTAAACAGACATGACTAAAGCAATTGAGCTTATATGCACAATGCTGAATACTGTCTCACTATACAATCATACTTCTAGGCGTTTATCCAATTGATTCAAAAGCTTATGTACAAAAAACCTGAATATGAATATTTATAGCTGTTTAATTCATAATTGCCAAAACTGGAAGCCATCAAGAGGTACTTCAATGGATTAATGGATACATGAACTGTGGTACAGCCAGAGACTGCAGTATTATCCAGAGATGAAAACCAATGAGCTAACAAGCTACAAAAAGACTTGTAAATGCATATTGCTAAGTGAGAGAAGTCAGTGTGAAAAGGCTACATGCTGTATATTTCCAATTATTTGACATTCTGGAAAAGGAAACAAAAAAAGCCAGTGGTTTCTAGATTATTGGGAAGGGGAAAAGATTAAATAGGAGAAACACAGGATTTTTAGGGTGATCAAAGAATTCCATATGACAGTATAATAGAGACACTTGTCATTAGGCATTTGTCAAAACACATAGAACTTTATAACATGACAGGTGGCCCTGAACGCATCCAGATTAAGGATGTGATTTAGGGATCGCAGGAAGGAATCGCCAGAACAAGAGACTACTTACATACACAGGAGACAGTCTCACTGAGGGCGGGGAGGTGATGGCCAAAGTAGCTTCAGAAATGACTGAAGTCTGTAAGGCGAGAGGCGAAGGAGCCGCACGCGACCAGGTATACTCAGATTCAGGGGTTTTGTACCCTGGGTGGTAAGGCTGTGCCCGCAAGAAGCTGCCACCAGTGCAGGCATTGCTGCTCGCGTGCAGTGGGGCTGAGCAATTCAGTGAGTGAGTGAGGAACGCGGGGAGCCTGGCTTTTCTCTGCTGGGGAATTTCTAGATAAGCAAGGAGGGAGGCTAGCGTGATCTGTGAAGCGATAGATTAGAGTCTCAGACCCCAGTCAGAACACATGCTTAGTCTAGTAGAGATGCAGGTGTTCACATACAGAGTTTATAGATATGTTTGCATGCAAAAGCTAGTGCTGTGTGCTAAGTCACTTAAGTTGCATCCGACTCTGCAACCCCATGGACTATAGCCCGCCAGGCTCCACTCTCTATGGGATTTCCCAGGCAAGAATATTGGAGTAGGGTGCCATTTCCCTACTCCAGTGGATCTTCCCGACCCAGGGATCTAACCTGAGTGTCCTACGGCTCCTGTATTGCAGACAGATTCTTTACCACTGAGCCTCCAGGGAAGCACAAATGCTAGTGGACAGTGTGTTAGAACTCAGCACCATGTGCGTCTATATCCAACCTTACAGAGCATGCATACAGGCATATTATATATACATTTCTCCATATATATTAACATTCAATATATCTTAAGTAGTTTTGTTCTTAGGCTTCCCCACTGACTGAGCAGGTAAAGAATCCTCCTGAAATGCAGGAGACGCAGGTTCGGTCCCTGGGTCAGGAACATCCCCTGGAGGGGGAAAACGGTGACCCACTCCAGTATTCTTGCCTGAAAAATCCCATGGACGGAGGAGCCTAGCAGGCTACAGTCCTAAGGGTCGCAGAGTCGGACATGACTGAGCAACCAAGTCAGAAAAATAAGCAAGTCTTATTGCTTATTTTTGCATTAAAAAGAACAGGAAGCATGGATATAGTTAGGTGCTGGACTCTGGCCCCCAGAGTCAATGCATCTTTTGGGTATTTACCAGAAGCGGACAGTTTGGGTAACTTCTGAGGACAAAGATGCATGTGTCCCAGGATGCTGGTGCTGCATGCTGGTCTGGGGGCAGGAGGGGGCTGGTGTGCCCTGGGCTGACCCACTGTTCTCTTCATGTTGCTCAGGGAGACGACTGAGGACTTCCTTAAGGAAGACGGTGACTTCTCTGTGTGAATTTGGGGGCGCTAGGCATGTGGAAGAATCGTCTGTACCATTTGGGGCCCAGAGTTCTGGGCATTCTTTCCTTCCCTGGAACATGACTATTTTTTAGTTTCTCTCCACTATCATCACCCAGGTTTAGAGACTTTCCCTCAAATCAGCAGCCTGGCAAGGGGTCTCTCTTGTCTTCTGAGGTGGTTTTATAGCGTCCCCCCAACCCCGCCAAGGGCTTCCTGCCAGGCTCCTCACTCTGCCCTGCATCCCCTGCAGATGTCACCCCTCTCTCTCCCCTCTCAGGGAAGCCCCTGCTGAATCAGATCGTCTTTATAAAAGGTACCCCATCCCCTGTCAAGGACATCTTAGTTAATCACTAATCTTATCTCTCTCATCCATTCATGAGTCATTGAGAGCCCAAGATTGTCAGGTCCTGGGCTAGTGGGGGGCGGGGGAGGGTGACCGGGGTCATAAGGGGCTAAGGGTCATTTCAGGGCCATAGACAGATAAACCACCTGCTGGATTTTGGGTTAAATAAAGTAAGCATGGGGCCTCGATAGAAGCGGCATGTCTGCGGAGGGTGAATTTCACTAGGGCATCAAAGACAAAGGTTGGATTCAAACAGCATTTCCCTCAGCTTGAGCCAAAGGAGCTGCCATCTCAACAATGAAACAGGAAAAAATGACATTGAATATGGCAGGAATTCAGGAAAACAAAGATGGAGCTTCCATGTGCAAGAAAAGTGAAATAGATCATGATGTTTTGATGAAATGCCCCCATGGTGCAGAGATAACAGTATTTTTGTGGAGCTCCAGGAACGTTGCAATTGATCAAAAAAGCCCTTTCTACATGGCAAGCGTTCAGGTCCATACTTGATCAGGACCATGAGTCAGGTCACTGTGTCTCTCGGCTCACACATCCAACTGGAGAAGAGTATCGAGAAAGTTTCTGATGGACTTGCTTACTTTCCTCAGGTCTCTAGAGGATCCATGGGACGGCGGTGGTGCCTGGCGGCCAGCTCCTGAGGCTCCCGGTCCAAGGTGTTTGAGGGATGGATGCGTGGGAACCTCCCCGGGCTGGCGGCTCTCCCAGGAGCAAGCTTCAGAGCAGCGCTGGGCCTGCCCCTCGGCCTGGCCTGCCCGTGGGCAGCCCAGCGCTCACATCCCAGTCATGGAGCCGCACTCTCCTCCACGTGGACCCTGTTCCAGCAGAGATACTGATCCCTGAGTGGACTTTTCATCCTCCAGAACTACCCATTTGACAGACCCAAAGGGTAGCACCCTGGTCTTGTTTTACTAAAACTTCTCTCTTGGTCAGCATCCTGAGACCCTGGGGTCAGGGGTAAAGCAAACCCAGCCTCAGGGAGGATCGCTCTCCTTAATCCCCTGCCTTCACAGGCCTGCCGCCCATCTCAGGAAGGGAGGGGATGTTCAAGAAGGTTTGATGATGAGCCTGTCTATGAAGCAGGACAGACCCACAAGCATAGATATCAGATCTGTGCTTGTCAAGGGTGGGAGTCAGGGGAGAAGAACTGGGAGCTTGGGGTTAGCAGAGGCAAACTGTTATATGTAGGATGGGTAAGCAGCAAGGTGGTGCTGCGGAGTTCAGGGATCTATATTCAGCATCCTGCGGTAAGCCGTAACGGGAAAGAATACGGAAAAAAAGTTGATACCAGTTTCCTATTAAGTTAGGCATAATGTTTCACATGACCCAGAAATTCCACTTACAGGTATTTACTCAAGAGAAATAGAAACACATGATCACACAAACTTCACATATGAATATTTAGAGTGGCTTCCTGTATCCAACCAGTCCATCCTAAAGCAAATCAGTCCTGAATAGTCATTGGAAGGACTGATGCTGAAGCTGAAACTCCAATACTTTGGCCACCTGATGTGAATAACTGACTCATTGGAAAAGACCCTGATGCTGGGAAAGATTGAAGGCAGGAGGAGAAGGGGATGACAGAGGATGAGATGGCCAGACAGCATCACCAACTCAATGGACATGAGTTTGAGTAGGCTGCGGGAGTTGGTGATGGACAGGGAGGCCTGGCGTGCTGCGCCCATGGGGTCGCAGAGTTGGACACGACTGAGTGACTGAACTGAACTGAACACATATCATCTACCAAAAACGGAAACAACACAACGTTCTTCGGCGGAGGAGTGGATACTCCTGCTGGGACTCATCCTTACCAGGAATATGACATGCCAATAAAGAGAAATTAACTTCTGATACATACGATGGCAATAATGACTCTCAAACACATTTTGCTAAGTGAGAGAAGCCGGATTCAATGGTTACAGATGGTATAATTCCACGTATATGACTTTCTGGGGAGTGTGAAAAGGAGCACAGAAAGGAAATCAGTCACTTCCCGGGTCATGGCAGAGAGGAGCTGACTACGAGTGGGCGGTGGAGGGGCTTTTGGGTGGGAATGGATCTTTCCAACCACGGAGGCGGTTATGAATCTGCATGTGTAAATCTCACAGAACTGTTCGCTAAGGAGTGAATTTAACTGTCGGTAAAACCCACTTCAATAAAACTAACTAAACAAGAGACAAGAAAAGAAATGCAACACAGCCCCATAGAATTACGGTCTGTCATCTACCAGACTGGCAGAATTTAAGAAGACTTCATGTAGAAGAAAAACAAGCAAAAGAAAACGTTGCTGTGGAAGTAGCAGGGCGCTGGCTGCCTTTCTTAGGTTAGACCTTCCAGGGAACACATTTCCTGGAATATTAAGGAGCAAGCTGTCAGGGGCTGAATCACGAGGTCCCCCGAGTCCACAGAGAGTTAAGGAGCCCGGACAGACTGCAAAGGAAGGCCACGCACGGCCTCGGCTTCACAAGACCGCAGGGCGCCTTTGTCCTGAAAAGCAAGCCGAAAAGATCTTCCCTCTTCAAAATGCACAGCTGCACACTCCCGACACATCGCCAGGGGCTGGATCCCGGGCCGCAGGGGCACCCACAGGGCTGGTCCTCAGAGCCCGGCGCCTCCTCTGTTTGCTGGGGAGGATGGGACTGATCTCGGTTCAGAGCCGCCCCAGCCGCTGTGCCGGCAGCTTCATGAATATTATTTCAGCAAAACAGCGGTGAGGACGGTCACACCACTGTCTTCACTTTGTGCTCAGTCGTATCCAACTCTTTGTGACCCACGGACTGTAGCCCGCCAGGCTCTTCTGTCCATGGGACTTCCCAGGCAAGACACTGGAGTGGATTGCCATTTCCTCCTCCAGGGGATCTTCCTGACCCAGGGATCGAACCCACATCTTTTGTGTCTTCTGAGGCCCAGGCCTTGCCCTGTCACCCTGCATCACAGCCACAACCCTGGGAGAGGCTGGTTCTCCTCCGTTGCACGGAGTGAATGAGACGTCTTTCAGAAGAGGGCTCAGCCATCCATGCTTTGGGGGCTCAGGGTGAGACAGGGGTGGAGGGCGAGCCCTGTTGAGCCTGCTGAGAGAGCCCCGCTGAAACCGCCCCAGGGCCCTGCCGGCTGCCTGGTGCAGATTTTCAAGCATGGTGACACAGACCGTCCCAGGAGGAGGCCTCAGCCTCCTGCCAGAAACTAAGCGGAACGCCGCCGCTACAGCGAGCCCCTCCCTGTTCCAAACGGCCCGGGGCTGGAGACGGGCATCCGCTAAGGAGAGGAGCTAGCTGGTGGGAAAGCAAGGCCGCCCGTCACATCAGAGGGCAACATCGCTCCAGAGCCCAGCAGAGCTCTCCTTGACCCGTCAGTGCCTTGCCTCCTGCAGCGCTGAATCTGGGGGTGTCAGAGCTGCCTCGGAGCAGGGGTCAGGGCAGGTCCGAGAGGCGAGGGTGCCCAGGGCAAGGCTGAGAGGAACAGATCCACGGGCACCCTTTCATCTAAGGGGCGGGCTCAGCTCCCGACCAGGAAGAGGAACCAACCCAGATGGGGACCACGGCCAGCGCCGTTCTCTGGACCCTGGGCCGTCCAGCCTCTGCCTGCGATTCCTGTCTCCACATCCAGGGAGGCGGGCCTCGATGTCACTGCCCCGGACAGTGAGCAGGCTGTGACGGCCAGGTGCCCGCGCTGATGCTGAGTAGGCCCAGCATCCCTCTGGGCCCTGAGGGCAGGAGGATTAGGGAGCACGGCCGCCCGTCACATCCCAGATGTACCTTACCCTGACCTTCCGTGTCCTTGTAGGGGGAGCCTCAGGGTCAGGGCCCTTGGTGGAGAGTGGCAGGTGGGCAGGCACCGCGATGGGGTTAGCAGGTGGCTTCTGGGGTGAGTGCAGCCAGGGCACCCCAGCAGGGGCCAGGGGAGCAGAGCAGTGGTCAGTGGTGTGCAACAGAAGAGTCTCCAGCCGGGTAGCAGGCACTGCTAGATCCGGAAACCAAACGGGGACCATCTTGCTGACCACCCAGCCCGCCCCCACATCCTCCCTGCAGCTCCACCCTCACGAGACACCTGCAGGCAGGCAGGCTGCGCTGGGCTTTGGTCTCTGCGGACGAGGAAGCGTGTGGGAGACTGCTATCCTGGGGATGCACAGGCCTGGGGCGACATCCCAGTGAACAGAGGGGTCTCCCAGACTGTGGGCCTGGGAGCTGCAGCCCAGGGTGGCCAGAATGGAGAAGAATGGCCTGGAAGCAGCCCCTGACGCTGGGGAGCCTGAGGTCCAAGGGCTGGACACTGGCCCCAAGCCTGGAGCCAAGGCAGCGAGGGCCAGTCCTGCCCCGACATAGTCTTCTGTCCTCAATTTTAACATTTTACTCTGAGACTCAGAAAAGGGCTAATAAAATTCCTCCAGCTTCAGGTTGAATTACTAGACATAGTCTGGGAGGATTTAGCAACATCAGAGCAGGAAATACAAGCCTAAGCCTGACTTAAAGGGCCGTGAGAAGCCGGGCAGAGCTACTAACCTGAAATGACCCGTCTGCCACCACAGAGCTGACTTCTCATCTCACAGGCTCCGAAGCTGGACCCCTACCCCAGAGCTGGGGCCGCAGGGGCTCAGCGCCCCCACCAGACTGCCTGTGATGTCTCAGCATTTCTTTGAGGTCTCTGGGGCTCCTCTGCATGGAAGCACGTCCACCAGGGCCTGGGGTCCAGAGGGTCTGCCTGCACCTTAAACTTGAGTTCCATGGGGGCCCGTCTCCCCATCCAAGACCCTCTCAGCTCTGCCACGCGAGCAGGGGCTCAGCCGTCATGAGCCAGCAGAATCAGCTAGTGGAGGATAATAAAACGGGGATGACTGTTACTTACCTAAGACAGCGAACAATTTCATCAAGTCATTATGTTTGGTGAAATGTGGCTTTAAATGTGTTCTGTATACAGATATCTCCCCCCTCCTCCACTTAGCTGCTTGAGAGATAAGAGAAGGGTTTGTCTTAGCCAGCTGTGATATGAAGCTGATTTATAAAGGATTGGCATCGATGTAATGTTAGAAAGTGCTCATTTGAGCACTAAAATGAAACTCAGCAAACTTTATGCTTTCTGGCTGGTTGTACCTGGCGACTTATATATAAATAGCTGCCTCTTCTGTTCACAAATCTCCCAAATCCTATCGTAGATGAGCTGGTTTGGGCTCGTGGTGTGTTCAGGATTTTAAAAGCCCATTGTTGTTCAGTCTCTAAGTCGTATCAACTCTTTGCAACCCCATGGACTGTAGCATGACCAACCTTCACTGTCTCCTGCAATTTGCCCAAACTCATGTCCACTGAGTCAGTGATGTCATCCAACCATCTCATCCTGTGTCGTCCCCTTCTCCTGCCTTCATTCTTTCCCAGCATCAGGGTCTTTTCCAATGAGTCAGCTGTTCTCATCAGGTGGCCAAAGCACTGGAGCTTCAGCTTCAGCATCAGTCCTTCCAATGAATATTCAGGACTGATTTCCTTTAGGATGGACTAGTTTGATCTTGCAGTCCACAGGACTCTCAAGATTCTCCTCCAGCACCAGAGTTCAAAAACATCAGTTCTTTGGTGCTCAGTCTTCATTATTAGAGAACAGTTACCAGTAGTGACATCTACTTTCTAATTTTTGTTCAGGTGAGAGAGGAAAAGTGCTAGAAAGTCTGGCAGGGAACACATCTGTAGAGTTTGTAACCTGTAGAGTGAGATTGTGGGAATGGATCGACAGAGATGAGATGAATATCTCACTGTGGGCCACGGATCTTTACTTCCCTCTGGGGTGGGCACTTGGGTGGTACAGAGCCCACAAAGCCCTTTGCTGGAAAGATCACTTTGCAGCAATGTCTTGACCCGTCAATGCTCCCCGGCTCAAGGACAGTCGTCGATCACCACCCGGCACACCCACTCACACTAAGGCCCGCTGCCCTTCCCTTGCAGAAACGAACCACTCAGGTGCACACACACCAGCCCCATCTGCAGGGCTGCTGTGCACAGAAGAAAATTTAAGAGTCTTCAGTCCACAGACTCTGACAGCTGGTCACTGACTCTTCTCCTAAAAAAAGGATAGCTTTTCCCGGCAGGAATCAGATTTCCAGGAAACCTGAGAACGGAAGGTTGGGAAAGAGTGAATAAAGGCAGGCCTGGTGCATGGGTTCCTGCTTCACCAATCTGCAGGCCTGCAGCACCGACCCTCTGAACACAGGGGGCGTGGCCGTGTGACTTCTCCTACCGCCAGACCCTGCCGGCCTCCTCCGACTCCATCCTGAGACTGAAACCTGGACGATGCTCACTTGTCCTGATGCAGCGTCTCTGTAAACCTGGGTCGTTTATGAAGCCTGTCCCCAGCGGTGGGATCTTAACCAGCGTCCTGCACCGGGCTGTCTTTGAACAGCCTGCCGTCTGAAGCCGAGGGTGGGTGGCCAGAGCCCTGTGGCTCCATGCACGGTCTGCAACACTCTAACGACCCTGGAGCTTCACTAGACCCCGCTCAGCCCCACTCAGTTGAAACCTGCATCTGCTTGGGCCCTGCCGGCGACTGTGTGCACATTAAATCTGAGAACCTTGGCCACACAGCACTGGGGGATTTCCCAAAGCGCCTGGTCCCAGCCAGGACACCGCAATGGCGCTTTCAGGGCACAGCCTGGGGTCTCCTGGTCAGAAACTGATTCTGCCTGGTCACCACGCTGGGGCCGCACTGCAGAAGACGTACCTGAACTGCCCACCTGGAAACCTACTGGAAGAGAATTTATAGACCCCAGCCAGGGAGAGTCGGATCCTGGCCTAGGCTGGGACGGAGAATCTGTTTTTTAACCTTGCGTGCTCACTGATGCTGCTGTGGGTGGTCGGTGGTGCTCAGAACACACTTTGAGAAACACCATCTATTTCGAGGGAAGACTTGAAAACCATCACTCTTTGTACCCTTTCATTGCTCTCAGCTCACCCTGAGCCAGGGTAGCCAATGGGAGGAAGGAGCAGAAACGACGTCATCAGTTGTGATGCTTCCAGCAGTGAATAGTGTGTCTGGGCTTGATTCTGCTTCTTTACAGCTAATGCCTCCATTCAGGGCTGTGGGGTCATGGTGGGGAGTCACCCCAGGCATGGGGTCACGGTAGGGGGTCACTGCCAGGCATGAGGTCATGGTGGGGGGTCACTGCCAGGCATGGGGTCACGGTGGGGGAGTCACACCAGGCATGGGGTCACAGTGAGGGGTCATTCCAGGCACAGGGTCAAGGTGGGGGTCACTCCCAGGCATGAGGTCACGGTGGGGGGGTCACTCCAGGCATGGGGTCATGGTGGGGGGTCACTCTCAGGGCATGGGGTCACAGTGGGGGAGTCACTCCAGGGCATGTGGTCACAGTGGGGGGTCACTCTCAGGCATGGGGTCATGGTGGGGGGGTCACTCCAGGGCATGGGGTCACAGTGGGGGTGTCACTCCCAGGCATGGGGTCACGGTAGGGGGTCACTGCCAGGCATGAGGTCACGGTAGGGGGTCATTCCAGGCATGGGGTCAAGGTGGGGGTCACTCCCAGGCATGAGGTCACTGTGGGGGGTCACTCCAGGGCATGGGGTCACAGTGAGGGGTCACTCTCAGGCATGGGGTCACAGTGGGGGGTCACTCCAGGGCATGGGGTCACAGTGGGGGGTCACACTCAGGGCATGGGGTCATGGTGGGGGGTCACTCTCAGGGCATGGGGTCACAGTGGGGGGGTCACTCCAGGGCATGCGGTCACAGTGGGGGGTCACTCTCAGGCATGGGGTCATGGTGGGGGGGTCACTCCAGGGCATGGGGTCACAGTGAGGGTGTCACTCCCAGGCATGGGGTCACGGTGGGGGGTAACTCTCAGGCAAGGGGTCACAGTGGGGGGTCACTCCCAGGCATGTGGTCACAGTGGGGGGGTCACTCCAGGGCATGGGGTCACGGTGGGGGGTCACTCTCAGGGCATGGGGTCACAGTGGGGGGTCACTCTCAGACATGGGGTCATGGTGGGGGGTCACTCTCAGGCACGGGGTCACATGTCACTCCAGGGCATAGGCTCACGGTGGGGTGTCACTCCCAGGCACGGGGTCACGGTGGGGGGGTCATGGTAGAGAGGGTCACTCCCAGGCGGAATCCCAATGGAAGCTTGTGAGCTTCTCCTGGGGTCGGGGCAGGGCGGGTTCGTGTCTCCGGGGTCGGTTCTCTCCTGTCCGCAGCTGTCTGGGCACAGTGGGCAGGTCTCAGCAGCGCTTCCTCCCAGGCCCGCCCGTGTGCCGTCCCGGTGCGGCCCGGGGGCTTGTCCCACCTCGGTTCCGGCAGCCCCTCCTCCTGCCACGCGGGCAGCCTGCCTGAGCTCTCTGCCCCTTTGCACGTGGGAATCAGGGATTACCAGGCCCTTGCCCCTGGGGCAAGAGATGTAGGCAGTGGGTCCTGTGGCCTGGGAATAGTACTCAGCTGTTTCTAAACTGGTCTCTGCCGTGCCTTGCTGGTCCAGGGGCTTCTCCAAGGGCTCCTGGTGTCCCAGGCCAGCCCTGAGAAGGGAGGCACCAGCCTCCAGACCCAGCGGGCTATGCCAGCCCCCAGCGCCCGCGCCTCGGGAACCTGAGCTGGAGGAGGGGCCCCGCGCTGGTGTCCAGCCTCACACTCACCTTCTCCCACTCTGCCAGGCTCTGCTGCTTGTGGGAAAGAAGGAGCTTATTCCCCAGGCCGGGGGCCCTAAATCCTGGTTTCGCATTAGAATTAGCTGAAGAGCTTTTTAAACTACCAGGCACCCTGGCCTCACCCAGGAGACGGATTTAATTGACCCAGAGGAGGCGGGCAGGGTATTTTTAAAGCTTGGCAGACTTTTGATGTGCAGCCTGAGCTGAAAGCCAGCTCAAGTCCTACCCTGCAGTCCTGTTCCCCTCCTTCCCAGCAAACCTCTGTGCCCTGGGGCTCCCAGGCGGGCTTGCATTTTGATGGGAACTGGAGTTCTCTGGAATTCGGAAGTCCTTTGAGAAGCCTCACTCCTGACTACCGTTGTACTGAGTATTATTTTAGAAGCCTAACTGTCGATCAAAGAAACATCTTTGTTCACAGGTCTGCCTTTTACTCTGCACAAGGAACCTACTGGTGCTGTGGGAGAGCCCCAGGGTGTGTTATTTCCTTATTTATATATATTTTAATTTATTTGCTTATCTTTGGCTACACTGGTCGCTGCGTGTGGGTTTTCTCCAGATGCAGCCAGCGCGGGCGGCTCTCTAGCTGAGGTGCTTGGCCTGCTCGCTGCTGGGGCTTGCAGGCGCAGCCTCTATGGTTTGGGCTTAGCGGTCTGGGCACACCGGCTTAGTTGCCCCGCAGCCCGTGAAATCTTCCCAAACCAGGGATCGAACCTGTGTCCCTGCATTGGCAGGCAGATCCTTAATGGCTGGGCCAGCAGGGAGGTCCAGGATCTATTATTTAAAGGGAATGAAAACTCACTGCTTTAGGGAGGCTCTCAAGAATGAGTAGATAAGAGACAGGGCTAGCTGCACCCACTAATGGTTCGGGGAGGTGGGTGGCGGACCAGGGTGGGGCTTGCCTGCCCTGTGCTGGCATCATTCTGGTCCTGGGGGCAGTGGTCCCCGAATGCGCCCCATCTCCCGTGGGGGCAGCAGGGGACCAGACTGGACCGGTCCGGCTCAGGGAAGCCCCAGGCAATCGGGCGTCAATAGGAGGCTCACCACCGGCAGGAAGCGCAGTGAGAACAGGGAGAGCAGTGCCTGGAGGTGCTGGGGCGGGGCTCTGCCAGACTGGGGTAAGGGAGACCCCTGCGGGGGCCTGATACGCTGGCTGGGACCCTGCCAGCCAGGACCCCTGCTGACAGGGACGCCCTTCCAGCAGCCCCACCACTGGATGGGACCCCCCGGCTGACCTGAACTTCTCACTGGACTGGACTCACTGACCAGGAACGCCTCACTGTTTGGGACCCCCTTGCTGACTGGTCAGTGCCCCAAGGAGAACAGAGAGCAGGGGTGCCCACGACTCTCTCAGCGCCTCTCCTCTCCGCCAGCTGTCGGCCCAGGCATGTCAGAAGAGGCTGGGCTCTGACCCACCCATGCGCAGGGCCTGGCGTCTCCAGGAGGGCGGGCGAGAAAGGAGCCCCGTCTGGAGCTGGCCATGGCGCCTGTCTGCTGCTTTGACACGGCCCCCGGGGAGTCCAGCTGAGCACCGAGACTTCTCACCTGCAGAGTGGGCGGGCTGACCTCGCGGACCCATGACCCCCAGCTTGGCTGCAGCTCCCTGACAGCCTCTGCACACTGGCTTACACGCCAGGGCCCTTACACTTTAGACTCAGGTCAGCCTTCCGTCCCCATCTGCGGGCCAGCGGCCAGCTTGAGGATCTCCCATCCCCAGCTCTGACCCTGGTGGGACTCCAGCTATGTCCCCCCAGAGCCAGTCCAGTTTCCCTCCCCAACCCAGGAAGGACCCCCGCCCCCAGGGCTTGGGCAACGGGTTGCATAGGAGATGGGAGAACCTCACCGAGCCCCTGACGATGACTGAAAAAGATCCAAGAAAAGTTGTGTCTTTCTCAAAGCCCCGACTCTGCAACCCTAGCCTCACAGAGGAATAAGATTTGATTTTCCATTATGTTGCTGTTTTTGTTCGTCACTGTCTTGCCTGATCCTTTGAGATCCCTTGGACTGCAGCATGCCAGGCTTCCCGGTCCCTCACTGTCTCCCAAAACCTGCTCAAACTCATGTTCATTGAGTTAGTAATGCTCTCCAACCATCTCATCCTCTGTCGTCCCCGTCTCCTGCCCTCAATCTTTCCCAGCATCAGGATCTTTTCCGATAAGTCTACTCTCTGTTTCAGGTGGCCAAAGTTTTGGAGATTCAGCTTTCGCATCAGTCCTTCCAATGAATATTCAGGCTTGAATTCCTTTAGGACTGACTGGTTTGATCTTTCCATTATAAGCGATCACAATGAATGGCATACATCTTCATTTTGATAACTCAAGTCATACTTTTAGCAATTGTTATCACACATAAAAATGAAAAAAAGAGCACATTTGAGCTGGAGGAGCTGAGGGCTGAAGGCCTTTTATGGTTCATTGGCAGAGACTGAAATAAAAATAACTTTTAAGTGCAAAATCTTTTACTCTGGAGCATGCACGAGGAATAACTCCGAGTCTGGGTAAGCTGAGTGCAATTTTGGTCTGTTTATTTGTCTAACAGATAATGGATGTGTTCATTGAACCCAGTGGCAGATGCAGCATCTTCTTCTGAAATGTGGAAACAAATGAGAACCTGTGTATCTTTCAGATACCCAAGTCTTCAGATGATCAAGGCTGGCATGAGGAAGATCCTTCTCATGCTGAGCCCTTCCAGGTCTGAAAGACAAGCAAGGAGTGTGAGGCTCTGAGATGTCCTGATGTGATTTTGCCTGAGGACCAGAGAAGATCTAACTTGGAGGTCTGAATGACCCCAGATACCTTGAGATAAGACTTTCTGAAACAATGAGATTTAAGAAGGGCAAGTGCCAGAGGTGCCAATTTGAGCATTGTTCGTGAGGAGAGGTTTTGTGCTTCTTTATTTCTTGTAGCTAACCCGTAAGGATCTTAGGAGCTAAATCAGCAATGCCTGAAAACTCAGAACTCCACAGACTCCCGCAGACTGCTGACTTCTGAAGCTGAGGGTGCCCAGGACGCTGCCCAGCCGGGCACTGCACCCCAGCAGGTCTATGCAGTGATTCCGGGGGCAGTGGTACCATATGCAGAAACATCATCCTTTTCTTTCTTGGAGTTACTGTTTCTCTCTAAATTTCCACCCAGCTGGTTAATGAGGACCCCAATCTCAACCATTCCTGGGGGTTTCCTGGGGTGCAGAGCCAGAGGATACTGGCTCCAGGGAACCAATGCAGACAAGTACCACTGGGATGCCCCTGCGCCCACCCACACGGTTCCGGCAGGGGCCCTGGCCCGTGGGGCAGGAATCTTGGTGAGGTTGGGGGCGTCTCAGCTGTTCCTTCCTGTGCTCTTGCCCCTGCCCCAGGCCTCACTGGACGGCTCTGACTCAGACACAATCTTCTGACTCGAGTCCAGCCTGGGCTGTGCCTTCATTTTCTCTGGAATCTTGCATGTATGCTCAGCTGCTCACTTGTGTCTGACTCTTTGTGACCCCGTGGACTGTAGCCCGCCAGGCTCCTCTGTCCATGGGATGCTCCAGGCAAGAATACTGGAGTGGGTTGCCAATTCTTTCTCCAGGGGATCTTCCCGACCCAGGGATCAAACCCACGCCTCTTGCATCTCCTGCATTGCAGGCGGGTGGATTCTTTACCACTATGCCACCAGGGAAGCCTCTGGAGCCTTGGAGGGGACCTTATTCAGTGGTGCAGAACTCTTGTTTTGGACCAGCCAGGGGCAAAGCTGGCCCTGATGTCAGCAGGAATTCCTAACACACACTTGGCTCTGACGACAGACCTGGGCCCTAGGCAGTCTGAGCCTCTCCCAGGCAGATGGTGGGTCTGCGCCCTGTCCCAAGAAAGCAGGTTGAGCACGCCCAGCACACCTGGACCCCACCCCACCCTTGCTCTAGAGCCTGCCGTGGCTCCCTAATGCCATGGGAACAGAGCACCGTCCTGTTGCCCTCCAGACGACGGCTTCATCACCTTCTCCAAGTGCTCCTCCCCTGCCCTGTCACAAGCCTGGGCTCTGACAGACCCCTCACTGTGCAGAGCAGACCCCACAGGCTCACATCCCTATGAGTGTCCCCTTGCTGCCGTGTCTGAAATGTTCCCCCGTCGCCTGTAGCCAGAATCCAGAGCCATCCTCTCAGAGAAGGTGCCACCTAAGATGCTAGGCGGTCCTGCAGGAGGCAGCCAGGTGGATGGAGCGAGAGGCTGGGGCGGGGGTCTCTGTGGACAGAGCAGCAGCAAGTGGGGGTGGGCTGGCTGGGCTTAGGGCTTAATCCATCTGCAAACCGGTTTCACTAAAATGATCCCTAAACCGGCGTTGTCATGGTGATGTGAATAGAGTGTCCCCGCGTTGTGCTCAGCAAATATTTGTCAACTCCATTTGTTGGGTGATTTGTGGGCTTGTGCAGGGCAAGCCTGAAGTTGATAAAGTCCACGTGTACCAGCTGGAGAAGGAAGAGGGCCGGAGCAAAAGAAGCAGCGGAGGACGGCCTTCCTGCCGGGGCCCAGGCTCCTCTTCAGCCTCCCGGGGGTCACCCCCGGCCCCATCTCGCTCTCAGAACATACTTCTCCCCCCGTCAATAGGATCGGCCTTTGCGTTTCACATCGAGCCAGGTGTCCACGACCTGCCCAAGGTGTCGCACTTCCCCAGGTGGTGAGCTCGATTTTCTGAAAACAGAATTCATCTTTTCATCACACACAGGTGGTGAGTCTCATCACCGGGTACTTTGCTTTGGCAGCTCTGGCCGTCACCTCCAGCCTCCATGTAGAGCACCGAAGGGCTTCTCAAATCCCATCAGTAACGAGGGTTCCCTCCAATCCTCTTATCTTCCTTTGGGGGTGTTCAGGGCTGAGGGCTTTTCCCCCATAAAAGGCCCGTGAAAAACTTGAATCAAGCTGAAACCTGTAAGTCAAGCCAGTCTTTTCTAGAATCTATGGCAACTTTGGCCGCTGTTCATGGAAAAGAAAGTCTTGTAACCAAGCGCTGAGTTGTAGCTTGGTTCTCTCTACATAATCCACTATTTTTTCCCTAGCAAATTGGTTCTTGACGTTGATCTACCGAAAACAGTATCAATCACTTTCCCTTGACACTGTTTCTCTGCTGCCTGATCCTTTTGCTCCTCCAGCAGCCCCCAATTAATTATCTACAGTTTACTCCTCATCACTGAGGTCCCAACGCTTTCCCCATAAGGCGAGGGATATGCAAATGATTGACATCCCTGAGCCAGCAGAGAGCTTTGCAGTGGTTTTCAAAATCCATCCATCCAGCAACAATTCAATCTTGCAAAGATCATTCTTTTCCTCTAAAGTGAGGTCATATTTCCAGTCCTGCCATGGTGTATATTGTGCAATGTTTATCTTTCGTTTACTTTTCAAAACTATTCTCTTACCAGAAAATAAAGAGCAAATTCTTGCCTTGCGTATGCACATCTTACATCAAAAAGAAAAGCAATCGCCCGCCTGGCCTCTGTGGAAGGTTTGCCTCTTGAGCAGTGGATGGGTCAGCATGGGCATGAGAGGCTGGAGACATAGAATGCTGCATGTTCTGTCTGTTACATTATACCTCCAGGAGAATCCAGGCAGCATCTTATAGTCAGACACATTAATATTTCTGCATAGAAATGCATGAATATTCACACTGAGAAGCATGAATAAAGATTATAGATGACTTTGCATCAGCTCAGATCAGGCTTTGCTGCCAAATGAGTTTCTGGTCATAATGAAGAACAAAAAGCAGTGTGAGCTTTTTGGATTTGGGAATTGCAGACAGGAAATTGGGCCTCCTTCTCCCTCCTTTGTGTCTTTGTGGGTGCCCATCACAATCTGGAGACCCAGGGAAGATGCGCTCTGTTTACCACTTGTGATGCCAAGAGGAACGAGCCCCCAGCATCCTCACCCGTCTCACTCACGACCCCACAGCTGGATCAAGGATGCAGCTCCAGGGGTCCCAGGCCCATCAATCTACAGCCTGGAGAATGATGAGCCAGTGGTGACAGACAGACAGCCTCGAGCATCTGAGCCTCCTTTATCAGCAGCCCAAGGGTCCTGACCCCTGGTCTGGCAGCCACAGTTCGTGCGTGGTCTGTCACTCAGTCATGTCCTACTCTTTGTAACTCCATGGACCATAGCCCGCCAGGCTCCTCTGTCCACGGGATTTCCCAGAAAGGAATGCTGGAGCGGGTTGCCATCTCCTCCTCCAGGGCATCTTCCCAGCCCAGGGACCCACATCTCTTGTGCCTTATGCTCTGGCAGGAGGACTTTAACCACTGAGCCGCCTGGTGAGCGCAGCCACAGTAGCTGCAGAGAAACAGGCTGAGGCCTGTGGTCCCACCAGGGGACAAGAAGAGAGACGGGAGGCTGCGTCGTGTAGAAGCAGGAGGTGTGGCAGGTGCTGGTCCCAGCAAAGAGCGCGGCCCTGCCCATTTTTAGAAGCTTAACTCCGTCTTCCTGTTCCCCTTTGGAAGCCATTAATATCTCTGCAGACCAGCTCCAGACCAGGAGGCCGCAGGTCCCCGGCGATGCCCTGTGGTCCCTTACTACCCATGCGTCTCCTTTCACTTCCTCCATCCGCCCTGATTTAACGGAGGTGACTTGCCCCTGTCCCTGCAACCTCAGCTTGTCAGCAGAACACAAATACATTTTCTTTGCCGAGACAATTCCACCAACCCCTGACCAGGCACTGCCTACACTTGCATTGACTCCCAAAGTTAAAAACAGTCTTTTCCAGCATCAGAAACAAGTCTTGATCTAAAACCTGGCCGTCAACATCAAGGAGGAGGCAAAGAGGCAGCTGGCCATCGGCGTTTCTTGATGGAGAAACTGATTTCTGCGCCATTCTGCTTTTTGCTCTTTCCAGAAGGGCCCAGACTGATCGACGGCAGAGGGAAAGGCAGAGAACGAGAGGACTGAAAAGTGGGTTTGTTTGAGTCTCTTTGGAGGGGTCTGTGAGACCCAGCTTTTCATTCAGTCCAGGCTATTTCTACAGAAACCAGAACATGCAAATATTTACTTGGTTCTCAATACTCCCAGATATCTGTCGTTTCAGAACCAACTTGCAAACATGTCACTTTATGTGAACACAGCCATTCTTTAGCTAGGAAACAGTTTCAAAAGAAAAATCTGAAATGCTAAGGAAAAAACCCCTCAAACCCTTTATTTAATCAGTGACAATGTAAGAAGTAATAGAATACTAGTAATAAAATACTAGAATATGGCTAGAATACTCGTAAGTAGACCCTAAGCTTGAACAGACCAGTGCTTCTTTTTATTGAGCAGAGTTGCTCCTTTGACTTTTGACAAAAGTAGTGATGGTTTGGGCTTCCCCAGTGGCTCAGGAGATAAAGAACGCGCCTTCCAATGCAGGAGATACAAGAGAAGCGGGTTTGATTCCTGGGTTGAAAAGATTCCCTGGAGAGGAAAATGGCAACCCACTCTAGTGTTCTTGCCTGGGAAACTCATGGCCAGAGGAATCTGGTGGGCTATGGTCTTTGGGATCACAAAGAGTCAGACATGACTTAGTGACTAAGCAAAAACGACAAGTGATGGCTTACCTGAAATTGGTGTGGGGTATTTTGAATAGATATGATCTGCCTTCCTAACTTGCACAGCCCATGGCAGCCTCTGCCAGGGAGATAACATTTCCTCACTTCCTCAGGTGAGAGGGTTAACTGCAGGCCATTTTCCTGTGGTCCCTGAAACAAGATGACTTTAGCCAAAATGCACAGGGTCGTGGGGAACGAGACTACATTTATCATGGATCCAGCAGACACAGCTTCTTCATGCCAGTGATGCTGTCTCCAGGACATTCCCACCAGCTGGACAACCAAGATGGAAAGACACGTGTGTGTCTGTGTGTGCGCTTATGTGTGTTTTTGCATGTGTATGTGCCTGTGCGTGTGTGTGCATGTGTCTGTGAAGGGTCAGGCCTGTCCAAAGATTCCTCCTACCTCTCACACCCAGGCCTGAGAAAGTGCTTTCAATACCAAACTGGAAGTGGGAGGGATAAACTGGGGGTTTGGAATTACCATATGCACACTCCTATACATAACAAGCGCCAGCAGGGTTCTACCTACTGCAGAGCACAGGGAGCTGTGCTCAGTGTTCTGAGGAAACTTACACGGGAAAAGGATCAAAAAGAATAGATAATGTTGTGTGTGCGTATGCATGCTAACTTCCTTAGTCGTGCCTGACTCTGTGACCCCATGGACTGTAGATCGCCAGGCTCCCCTGTCCATGAGGCTCTCCAGGCAAGAATACTGGAGTGGGTTACTGTGCCTTCCTCCAGGGCACCTTTCCCACCCAGGGATCGAACCACATCTCATGTCTCCTGCGTTGGCAGATGGTCTTTACCACCAGCACCCCCCGGGAAACCCAGATACATGTGTTGTTGCTGTTCTTCGGCTGCTCAGTCATGTCTGACTCTTTGTGACCCCATGGACCGCGGCACACCAGGCCTCCCTGTCCCTCACTACCTCCCAGAGTTTGCCCAAGTTCGTGTCCTTTGAGTCGGTGATGCCATCCAACCAGCTCATCCTCCTTCGCCCTCTTCTCCTTCTGCCCTCAATCTTTCCCAGCATCAGGCTCTTTTCCAACAAGCTGGCTCTTCACATCAGCTGACCCAAGTATTGGAACCCCATGAGCCCTTGAGAACCCCAGGAACAGTATGAAAATATACATGTGTGTGTATGTATACAACTGAAACACTTTGTTGTACACCAAAAACTAGCACATTGTAAATCACTACACTCCAATAGAAAATAAATTTTTAAAAAAGCAGAGGAGGAACATAAAAATGTTTCAGAAGTACCAAACTATTAATACAAAGCCATGCTGTGAGCCTTCAGCTCCCTACTTTGATTAGAAAGTAGAGCACAGGCTGGAGCCGTCGTTTCTGGAGTAACTTGTGTCTTGAGCTCAACTTTTTCTCAAAAAGTTACTGAGGCATTTTCTAATGATTCTGCTTTTTGATGTGGACCATTTTTAAAGTTTTTATTGAATTTGTTATTAATATATATCGCTTCCATTTTTGGGGTTTGGGTTTTCTTGGCTTAGAGGAGCGTGGGATCTTGGCTCCGCAGTCAGGGGCTGAACCCGCAGCCCCTGCATGTGGCGGTGGAGTCCTGACCCCCGGAGCGCCAGAGAAGTCCTTGAGTTCGGGTTTGACCCGGCCCCTCAGCTCCGCGAAGCTACGAGCTCGCGAGGCTGAGAGCGCCTGGGAGCTGCGCCCGCCCCACCACCGGCCTGACCACGTCCTCCACTCGCCCAGAGCACGTGGGCAAGAGCACAAGTCCGATGGCCCGCCCTTGGCCCCGCAGCCGCTTCGCCAGCGAGCTTTCGCCGTGCCTGCTGTGTGCCGGGCAGAGCTCCGGAGCAAGGACAGCCAGAGTCCTGTGGTAGGGCCTCGGCCTCGGAGCTCATACTGTGGAAGGAGGAGACAGGCAGTCAAGGGTGCTCGGGGGAGCGGGCCTGGGCCCCCGGGGCGGGGACTGTGGGGCCACAGAGGCAGCAGCAGACCCAGCATCCACCCAGGAGGCGTGCTGAGCCCGAGCTGGGAGTGATCACAAAGCAGACTCATGCCTCCAGGCGTGTGCCCACCGGGGGTGTGCCAGACACCCAGGACCCAGCATTGTGGTTGGGGCCCTCCACTCAGAATTAGGCCGAGTGGGACACACGTTTTAGAGGATATTTTCCTTTCTAGCACTTCCCTGGTGGCTCAGAGGGTAAGGAGTCTGCCTGCAATGCCGGAGACCTGACTTCGATCCCTGGGTGGGGAAGATCCCCTGGAGAAGGAAATGGCAACCCACTCCGGTATCATTGCCTGGAGAATCCCATGGACGGAGGAGCCTGGCGGGCTACAGTCCATGGGGTTGCAAAGAGTCGGACGTGACTGAGCAACTTCACTTCACTTTTCCTTTCTAGACACTGAGCTGGGGCTGTCAGAGCAGGGACCCCAGGCTGGCCCTTGGAAAGCGCACTCCCCTTCGTGTGGACCGGCGGCAACTCGAGGTCCCCGCTCCCATCTACATCCCATCTTTGCCCTCCTCTTTCACACTCCATCTGCATTCTCTCCTTTCCCTTGGTTTTGGCTGCATGGTGACCTAGAGTGTTTTGATGTTTTATACTTTCTCTCACCTGCCAAGGGCAAGAGGGATTGTAAGAAAAAGCAACTACATCCACTGGGACCCTTTTTCATCTTAGGTTCAGTGCGAGGTCTGCAGGCTTGGTAAAGAGACGCCAGGCTGAGGGCAATCGGTGCTGCCTTGTCAGGCCAGGGAGCCCGAGGAGGCCCCCCAGCCTCCTGCGGGGATCTGGCACAGGGGCGGCTGACACGGGAGGAATTATCCACGCAAGAAGCAAATGGCCCTGGAAGACGGACCGCAGTGCTAGCCACCGGCTGCCGGACCGTGTTACTCCCATCAGCACGTGACGCACGGTTATTACTTGAGTTATAATGGCTGAGGAGTCATTCTCGTTCATCTTCCTTAGCCTCATTTTTAGTCTGTTATTTAGACAGATGTTGAAGTTAAATGCTGGCTTATGTTTCCATTATGAGACCTCAGAATCCCTCCAAGAACCAGGCGCGGGCTTCCACAGCCTGAGTCCCTTTCCTCCCTCGTTCCTCCTGGGCAGAGCTGGCCATGGGATGCTGGCCTCAGAAGGAGGCCCGGCCGGGCAGGGCAGGCGTGTTCCAGGCCTCCCATGTCAGCCCGGGGACTCCAGCCTCTCCAGGACTGGCGCATGTGTGTGCTCCTCGGGGCCGGTGCTTCAGATGGTGCCTCTCAACAAGGCCAGGCTCTGCTGGGCTCAGCACGCTGAGAGGCCCGTGTCCTTCCAACAGAGGAGCTTGCTGTCCCACGGAAAGCCAGCAGCATGTGCAGCGTGGGGGTCACCGGGACTCAGTCACAGACTCAGGGTGTCACCCGTGTGTCTGCGTTCTTGCTGACGCCGGAGCTCTGCTTCTGCTCAGGAACTAGGTGATGATGGCCTCCAGGAGCCACCATCACTGGGCCACGTCCCCTGGCCCCTGGGCCCTCAGTGACCAGCTCAGATCACTGACTGGACCGTGGGCTTGAGGAGAGAATGGTCTAAGGTCTGAGGTCCATGCTCTTGACCCAAATACTGGTCTTGTTCCGCTACCCCTGAGTGAGACAACCTTGATCCATCCTCAGGTGGAGAGGGCGAGTCCCCTCTGGAGGGCCCAGGAGGACAGCTGGCCTTCTGCACTGTCCCCTCACCGTGGCGGCTGGAGGTCCCTTTCTGCAGTGCGTGTCCTTGGGTCCCACCTGCCTGTGTCGCTGCAACCTGATCGCTCTCTCACAGAGCAAACCTCGTAGGGGTTGCCTGAATCCACTCCATTTGAGGACTGAGATCTCATTCGGGTTACCTTTTCTTTGGAAGAAGCAGGAGGCGGGCTCACACAGAGATAGATCGGAAAGCAACGGCGTGTTTCACAGAACTCCTGGCCCCAGACCATGGCTTGACTTCTCAATTCAGGCAGACTTCCCTCTGAGTGGAGGTCAGCTGCCCCCATTCCCCCTGACACTCTGATGCTCTGTTTGAAGAAGCAGAAAGGGTTGAAGTTCTTGAAGGATCATTTCCCAGGTGTGGGGAGGAGGAAGACAGCCCAGACAAGCCTGTTTGAGGTGAGAGAGGGGCCCATAGAGGGCCTGGGGAAAACCCTGGCCCTCCCTCACCCTTCCCTCTCTCCACCTATTCATCCATCCACCCACCCATCCACCCACCTGTGTGTGCATGCATGCATACAGCCAACCATCCATCTATATCTACCCATCCATCTACCACTCACAAATCCATCCATCTCTGCATCCATCTGTCCCTTCATCCATCCATCTATCTATCCATCTATTCATCCATCCACCAATCCACCCTTGTGTGCATGCGTGCACACATCACACCACCCACCTATGCATATATCTGTCTATCTATCCATCCACCCCTGCTCACTTCCCTCCATCCATCTGTACATTCATTCACTTAAACACACATACTCACGGAGGCAGAGACTGCCCAAGAGGCTCACAGCCTATTAAGAAGCCCTGCCTGGCGTGGAGAAGAAAGCCTGGGCCGTGGCCTACTTTGCTGGTTGATGGATGAGGCAGTGCTGCACCCAGGCTCTCCCAGACTACCAAAGAGGAGGAGTCATACCTTCCAGGCTCACTGGAGCTTCTTGCTTGGCCACTTTAGGGCTGATGAATGGGACAGTTGAAACCAGAGAGGATTATGTGTCTTAAGTTCTGGTTCTCTGGCTCCAGAGGTTCAACTGGACCGTTTGTGTATCAGAAGCAATTTTAAAACCTGATTCCTCTGATTTCTTGCTGTCAAACTGAAGGTAACAGAAATTCTGGGAAGCTTCTGGAGTCTTGATCTTTGGAATGTTTCTTTCTGATCTCACTCAAGGATGACACTAGCAGATGCTGTCTCCATTCCCACTGATTTGGAAATCTGTGATATTTTATGTGTGTGTATGTGGGTGCTCAGTCATGTCCGACTCATTGTGACCCCATGGACTGTAGCCCGCCAGCCTCCTCTGTCCATGGGATTCTCCAGGCAGGAATACTGGAGTGGGTTGCCATGTCCTTCTCCAGAGATCCTCCCCACCCAGGGATTGAACCTGCATCTTCTGACTCTCCTGCATTGACAAGAGGACTTTGCACCACTAGCGCCGCCCGGGAAGCCCATGATTTTACGAGCGAGGATGGACACCTGCGGGGTCTGTAGCTGTTGATGCCTTCAGAGTCTAGACGGAGGGTCCCTAGCCCGCCCCATGGGCGCCGACCACACAGTTTGTGAGAAGGTGCAAGTCCTTTCTGCCTGGCAGGCCGGGGGTGCCCAGAGCGCGCCTGATCCGTGCTTCCCACCATCTGCGACGAGCCACCTTTGGCCCACACTTACTCCTCTTTCAGTGTTGCTCAGCCAATACGTTGCTTGATGTCCTTTCATTTGAAATTGCATCTTCCCTGTTTCCCATGGAGAAACATGCAGCTGGGAGACAGTGAAGAAATGCCAAAATCAGGAGGGCCAGGACTCCCATCATTCCCTGGTTCCAACCAGTTCCAGATCCTAACTCTAGCCTCCACTCTCTCTCAAGACTGGGACAGCGCTGGTCTTTGTCCCTCAGGGCTGGTAGCAGCGATGGAGACAGAGGCTCACCCTGCCTCCCACAAGGCCTCCCCTCCAGGAACGGGAATCAGGTAAGTAAGCCAGGACCATCACCGTGCACGCTGGAGTCCATGCTCTAATTTCTGTGATAAGAAAACGCAAAGGCAGGTTTCAGCCTGGAGGAAGCTGTTCCTGGCACTGATGGAGGGCTGGTGTCGGGATGAACAAGGAATGCCCACAGATTATCCCGGAAAGCAGCGCCCAGCAGAAAAGTGACCCAGACGGTGAGCAGAGGAGGAAATGCTGTGGGAACAAGGCCTGACCCTTGGTGGCCAGGCCTGGCTGACCACGGCCACAGGGGCTCCCACTGTCCCCCAGCCCACGGTAGACGAGGGCACCCAGCCACACCCACGTCAGACCAGTGCAGCCCTGCCGGCTCCTCCATCCATCGCTGGAGGAGGGGTATGTGGGTGCAACTGCTTCGGAAAATAGCTGGGAATTTTCCCCTGAAACAGAAGCTGCATACCTTGCCCCACTGCAGCTCTGTTTCTAGGCATATCAGCCCCAAGGAATTCTTGACTATCTGGGGAGACTTGGTCAAAACTGGCATTCAGAGCATCACAGATGATGAACAAGACCCAAAGGATCCTAGTAGAGGAGAGAACTGGGGTACACAGGCGAAGAATGTAGAAACACTGCAGTCACAGACATATAATTATAAATTAAAAGAATGGACTCAATTGCTTTCAACATCTCTACCTTTTTTTTTTTTTGTAAAGATAAAAACTAAACATTTTAAAATATGCTTTAGGTACCCACGCAGACACAAGAAATCTACGTAGGAAAAAAAGCCCAGAAGTGATAACACGGAGGCAGACGGAGTTTATTTAGAGTGGAGGGGGCAGGCTGGGACAGGTGAGGTGTGGGACATGGGCTGCTTCCTCGTTATCAAGGAGCATGTTGTTCAGGGAGGTGAGTTCACAGGAGCACCTTGCTGGTTACCCCCTGGACCTGAAACCAAGCAGGACCCCATGGGGCCCCAGGATGCTAAGCCTCTCTGTATCCCCCATTTTTTGATTACAGGAACAGGCTTCATTCGGCCTCCTTGATGTCCCTTCCTTCCATCACCCACGTTCAAACAGTTGCTCATCGGGGCAGAGAGGAGATGCAGAGATACCGGCGGAGCCATCAAGAAAGAATAGCGCAGCGTTGGCGGGCGGGTCCTGGCTCCCCTTCAAGGGGTACATGCACAGTATCTTTGTTTTCCAGACAAACTGAAGCCCCCACCAGGTGGGAGAAATAAACTGTCTGCCGCCCGCCACCACGCTGGACCCCAGACCAGCTGGAATCCCAATGCTGACTCCCACTTACCTCCCCACCAACCAATCAGAAGAGTGTCCACGCGCTGATCACGCCCTCTCTGAGCCGTAACTGACAAACTTCTCACTGCCCAGTCCAGGCGGGACTCGCGTCTGTGAGGACATGACCCCACTGGGCCCCCTTTCCTGGCCACCCAGCAAGGCTGTTCTCTTCTGCCTGACCCGGTACTCGGTCCCCGAGATACAGCTCGGCGTCGGGTACAGAGGCCAGGCTCTGCTCCAGACCCCCAGCCCGCCGCCCCGCTCTGCCCTCCGCTGTGGGGCAGCCGCGCACCCCGCGCCTCCCTCGGCCAGCCGCGCCCAGCCGCGCCCTCCTGGGCCCTGGACGTCCCCCTGTTCCCTGCTCCTCGGCAGCCAGGCAGGAAGGCTTCTCCCCGCAGAGTGCTGTCTGTCCCAGGCACGCCCGTGCCCACCTAGCAGGCTCCCCGCACTGTCGAGCGGCCCCCGGGTCCCTTCAGACGCCCCCACGGGCAGCGGCTCCCAGAGCCCGGAGAGCACCGGGCAGCGGCCGGACCTGAGACAGCTCTGCCGGGTCAGGCCCGAGCTTCCGGTTCCCGGGTTCTGCCGCTTCTCCCCTTTCTGCTCCGCCCGGGGCCACAGCGCTTCCTGTAGAGACTCCACACACCACACCACACACACACACACACACACACACCACAGACACACCACAAACACCCCAAACACCACACACCACACACCACACACATACCACACACACACCACACACCACACACACACCACACATCAAACACCACACACACACCACCAACACACACAGACACACACCACACCACACACACACACCACACACACACACCAAACACCACACACACACCAAACACCAAACACCACACACACACACACACACCAAACACCACACACACACCACAAACACCCCAAACACCACACACCACACACCACACACACACACCACACACCAAACACCACACACACACACACACACACACCACACACCAAACACCACACACACACACCACACACCACACACCACACACACACACACACACACACACCACACACCACACACACCACACACCACACACACACACACACACACACACCACACACACCCCAAACACCACACACCACACACCACACACCACACACACACCACACACCAAACACCACACACACACCACAAACACACACACACCACACACACACACCACACACACACCACACCACACACACACACACACACCACACACACACACACCACACACCACACACCACACACACACACCACAAACACACACACACACCACACACACACACACCACACCCACACACACACACCACACACACACACCACACACACACCACACCACACACACACACACACACCACACACACCCCAAACACCACACACACACACACACCCCAAACACCACACACCACACACATACCACACACACACCACACACCAAACACCACACACACACCACAAACACACACAGACACACACCACACCACACACACACACACACACCACACACACACACACACACACCACACACCAAACACATACCACACACACACCACACATCAAACACCACACACACACATCACACACCACACACCAAACACATACCACACACACACACCACACACCAAACACCACACACACACCACAAACACACACACATACCACACACACACACACCACACACCAAACACCACACACACACAGACACACCACACCACACACACACACACACACACACCACACACACCACACACACCACAAACACATACTACAGACACACACACACCCCAAACACCACACACCACACACCACACACCACACACACACACCACACACCAAACACCACACACACACCACAAACACACACACACACCACACCCACACACACACACCACACACACACCACACACACACACCACACACACACCACACCACACACACACACACACCACAGACACACACACACACACTCCAAACACCACACACCACACACCACACACCACACACATACCACACACACACCACACACCAAACACCACACACACACCACAAACACACACAAATACACACCACACCACACACACACACACACACACACCACAAACACACACACACACACCACACACACCACACACACAGACCACACACCACACACATACCACACACACACCACACACCAAACACCACACACACACCACACACCAAACACCACACACACACCACAAACACACACACACACACCACACACACACACATCACACACACCACACCACACACACACACACACACACACCACACCACACACATACCACACACACACCACACACCAAACACCACACACACACCACAAACACACACAGACACACATCACACACACACACCACACACACACACCACACACCAAACACCACACACACACCACAAACACACACAAACACATACCACACACACACCACACACCAAACACCACACAGACACAGACACACCACACCACACACACACACACACACACATACCACACACACACCACACACACCACAAACACACACACACCACACCACACACACACACCAAACACCACAGACACAGACACACACACACCCCAAACACCACACACCACACACCACACACCAAACACCACACACACACACCACACACACCACACACACCACACACACATACTACAGACACACACACACACACCCCCCAAACACCACACACACACACCACACACCACACACCAAACACATACCACACACACACACCACACACCAAACACCACACACCAAACACCACACACACACACCACACACACACCACAAACACACACACATACCACACACACACATACCACACCACACACACACACCAAACACCACACACACACCACACACACACACACCACACACACCACAAACACATACTACAGACACACACACACCCACACACCACACACCAAACACCACACACACACCACAAACACACACACACACCAAACACACACACCACACACACCACACACACACGACACACACACACACACACCAAACACACACACCACACACACCACAAACACATACCACACACACACACACACCACACCACACACACACACCAAACACCACACACACACCACAAACACACACACATACCACACACACACACACCACACACCAAACACCACACACACACACCACACACACCACACACACCACACACACATACTACAGACACACACACACCCCCCAAACACCACACACACACACCACACACCACACACCAAACACCACACACCAAACACCACACACACACACCACACACACACCACAAACACACACACATACCACACACACACACACCACACCACACACACACACCAAACACCACACACACACCACACACACACACACCACACACACCACAAACACATACTACAGACACACACACACCCACACACCACACACCAAACACCACACACACACCACAAACACACACACACACCACACCACACACACACACCAAACACACACACCACACACACCACACACACACACACACCAAACACACACACCACACACACCACAAACACATACCACACACACACACACACCACACCACACACACACACCAAACACCACACACACACCACAAACACACACACATACCACACACACACACACCACACCACACACACACACCACACACCAAACACCACACACACACACACACCACACCCCCTACACACAAACACACACACACACACACCACACACGCACACAACTCCCGGTCTGCATTAATGCCTCTGACGCCGGGTCAGCATCTCTTACCCCAGGCCACAGTCCTGATGGGCCCCTGCCTATTACCCATGCTTATTAAGTTATTTCAAACACAGGAAAGAACATTGATTAGTAGAAGCATCAAGTAGTGAAAAGAATCAGTACTGACCAACTGAAGCCAAGAGGCCGCGTCATGCTCTGGGTCTCTGCTTCGGCCTGCGGTCTTGTGGCTACGCTTTTCCCAAGCAGCTGGAGTTTGGTGGACGTGAGGCTCCACAAGCAGTGTGTGTGGGGGTGGGGGGCGCTGAGTGTCACACATGCATGTCTGACGGGCCCTCTCAGACTAGGAGTGAGCGGGCCTGGGTGTCCCCACCCAGGGCGGCTCAGCCAGGAGCCGGGGGACCCTGACCTCTTTCCAGCCTCTGCCCTGGGGTCTCTCCTCTCTCCTGCTCCCTTCTTCTGAATTACCGCTTCTTAAAACCAAAACACTCCAAAAACACTGGAAAAGCCCCTAGTATGAGCATCATTCGGCAGCCCACCCCAGTATCCTTGCTTGGAGGCTCCCATGGACAGAAGGGCCTGGTGGGCCGCGGTCCAAAGGGTCATCATGCCCATTGTTGCTGTCTGAGAGCTGGCCGGCCGGAGGAAGGAGGCCGCGGGGCTTGAGCCGTTTGCCCAAACGGTTGGACTCTGAAGCACCCAGCAGGCCCTGGAGGTCAGGAGATAGAGCTGTCCCTCAACCCCACCACACAGCCACAACCACTGCCTCCCAAAACCCAGCAGCCGCCGGCCGGCTTGGTCCACAGCAGTGAGGGGCTGGGAGGCCGAGGCAGGCCCGCTGACCCCAGGCTCTCACAGGTAGGGGCGGGGGGCCCACAGCCGGGGTCTTTCCCTGGGGCGGGAGCCCTGACCGCGGACATGGTGCCAACGTCCTGCTCACAGGCCTGGGGCCCCCAGCACTCGCCTCACCCCCACTGGCTCCCGCTGACTTGGAAACGGAGTCGGTTGCGGCAGGCCTTTTCCAGATGGCCGTTCCTCCGGAGGGTAGGTGAGGGGACACGTGGGCGCACAGCAAGGAGCGAAAGGCAATGAGACAGACCGGGGCTGGAGGTCAGGCCCTTGTCCCTGCCCCCCTCCTGATGAGCTGGCACTCTGGTCCCCAGGTCCGCACTTGAAGACACACGCCGCCAGGTTGAGACCCGGGGCCCCTCCCAGCCCCCACGTCCTGTGACTTTGAGAGTCCGCCATGCCCAGGGCGCCCACTGACACTGAATTTCTGCTCGGTGCTTTTCAATACTGTCTGCAATGCTATTTCTTAGAGCTGAAGCAGACTCATCAGACAGCAGAGTAGTGTGTTTATCACACAGGGCCCCCCGCCACCATTACCGTCCCCCTGACCCGAGGAGGCCTTCTAACTGTGGGCTGATGCCCTAGGACACAACGTCTTCTGATGTGCTGGGTGCCAGCCAGTGGGCAGACGCCCCTGCTCACTCTTTGTGCCAAAATACTGTTGCTGATGACCTGTTTGGGGTTTCAAAATTGCTTACTATTTGATTATAGGAAAGTGCAGAAAAGTACCAATTTTCTGAGTGGAGATGTTTGTCACAGATGATCATCGCCAAGTTGGATAAGTGAAATTTGAAGTTTGTTTATCCCTCCCACTAGATTTCACAATGAAATTGGATCACTTTTGCAGTTCTCTGAGGAAGAAAGAGAAGCTTTAAGAATAGATAGATACACAGAGTGACACTTGGAAAAGAGCAGTCCTGGGAGGAAAACAAACAAACAAATTTCTCTGGGCCACATCGGTGAGGTACCAGATGGCGATTAAATATAATTTTTAAAACAAATGGAGAAACCATTAACTACGACGGAGGCCAATGCACCTGCGCTGTGTCAGCGAGGGTGGGATCATCTTGCTGAAGTGAGTAGGGTGCAGTGGACGGAGCCTCCCAGGCAGGACAGGTCAGAGGAGGAGGAGATGAAAGACCTGCCCTCTCTCAGGACCTCCAGTCTTGCTCTGCCCTGGATGGCCCTGCTGTCCCTCCTCGGTCCAGCCACCAGCGCCCATGAGCGCGGTCCAGATGTGCTCGCCGTCCACATGCAGACCCCAGGGATCTGTAGGAAGCCCGTGCTCTTTCGGTAGAACTGAGCTCTGTGACCACAGGACCGAAGCCCTGGTCCTCCTGCAGCACAGACCTCGAAACACGATCCATCTTAGACTCCGGGCGCCCCTGCCCAGGAGCATGTGGACACACAACCAATATTGCTGCGGGGTTGTTTGTGCAGACAGGAATGCAACTGTATATGTGAGCGCTCCTCACGTCACCAACACTTAAAGATGTGTTCTCTGTGGAATCCTGAGGCATGCAGCATTGTTTGAGCAAAGGCCCAGGTGGAAAGACAGGGCAGAATTAGATCTGATGCATCGCCAGAAGGCTTCTCTGTGCTGTGCGGTCCTCTGCCCAGTTCTGCTCCATCAGAGTGCTGAGGTTCCCTGTCAAACTGGAGAACTTCTTCCCTTGAACCCAAAGGGATGAGACAAGTCGGGAGACGGCAGTGAGGCATTAAGTCTGTGAGAAACACGACACTCGGCTTCTTGAATAATCATGAGATCAAACGTCTCAGTTGAGGGTAATTGGAGATGTATCAAGATTTCCTTCTTCATAGGGAGAAGAAAAGAATCTTCAAACTCCTCAGAAAAAAAGGTTTGCCTGTGGCAAAGAACATTATATAAATGTCCACCCTGCCAGAAACTTCAATTGTCTTGGATGTGAAGTGCAATTTATCAGCATCAGTGTTTCCTGTAGCCAAGGCAACAGCCTCAAACACAGTAAAGGAAAACATGAAGACAGCATTACCAAGAAAATGTGCTCATTTAAAAGAAAAAACAACTGTAAAAATGAATAAGTAAATAACTATCTTTACAAATCTCTCCACCCTTTTCCCCAGCATAGGCCATGTATGTAGGTATGGTCAGGATGTTGATGGAAAGGTGAGCCCCGTCTGGAGACACCAAGAACAAAGCTGTTTGACGCTCCTGAAATCCAATGGCAGGTTTAACAGATACTCAGTAGGAATGTTAGTTCTTGGAACAGGCTGAGTCCAGAGTGCATGTTGAAATCCGGCCTACTGTCTTAACTTGAAGGAGGGCTTCGTTAACTGTCTGAGTATATGCTCTTCACGGTGCTGGCACCTCTGTAAAATGTTCCCTCTCCCTCAGAGGTTATCACCTCGTGCGCTCTGCATCCTGGTGACCATCTCTGCCCTTCCATTTAAGGCTTTGCTTTGGGTCCCTGCCTGGGAGTTACACTGTGTGGCTTATTGAAATGAATAAAAGAGATTTATAAATAGAGACTGTTTAGATAAAGGCAAAGCATCATCCATCTGAGAAGAGAGGCTTATCTGCAGCAGATGTGTGTTTATCCAGGGAAATCAGCAGCATGTGAAACCTCACTACCCGGGTTTCAAAGGACGGGAAACTGCCACTGATGGACCAGTGGTCCATCCCCTGGGACTGTACTCCAAATATATAGGGCTATATGTCCCCGAGGGCAGAGCAAGGATGATTCCAGTGCAGCAGCAAATGAAAAAGAAAATGGACTACACGCTAATGGATACTGGGCCTCATGTCATGCTTGTGTGTGTGTGTGTGTGTGCACGCACTCAGGTGTGTCCAACTCTGCGATCCCATGGACTGTGGCCTGCTAGGCTCTTCTGTCCATGGGATTTTCCAGGCTAGAATACTGGAGTGAGTTTCTATTTCCTCTCCTAGGGGATCTTCCTGGGCCAGGGATCAAACCCGGGTCCCTGTGTCTCCTGCATTGGCAAGTGGCTCTTTACCACCACGCCACCAGGTAAGTCCCATGTCAAGCTTATAGGACTAGGAATGATGATTTCTCAAGAGATGCATCTGCAGTGTTATATTTCAGACTGTGCTTAAATGGTCAAATAATCTATGACTTGAGACTAAACACATACTTGAAGGATTCTTAGGTTAAACCTCTAACTGAAGGAGGCAAACGGGATAGGTTATATACACATAACCTGGGAATATCTAAAGTTCATTTCTTCCACACTCTGACAACTTTTCTCTCTCCTGCAATTTACAGAACCCTTAGGCACCTGTGAAGGCTCCAAATGCAGAGAACAATTTGTGTCACCACCCCTTGTGTGTCCTTCTTTTAAGGGGTGTTCTTTCAAAAACACCCAAGATTTCCTGAAAGTGATCAGCCATTGGTTCATCTGATAGGCAGAGTGATAACTCCTAAAGTCTCAACTGCTGTAATAGATCTAATAGAAATTGTCTGGCTTTATTAAATAGTGAGAGTTGAATCCTGGATAAACTCCATGAAATAACTTACTTTCCTTTGCTTTTGAGAACAGCCCCAGAGGTCCAACTGCTCCTAGGGTTCTGAGTGTGAGGCACCCCCATCCCCACAGGAGATGAAGCCACCAGGTCCTCGTTTGATGATAGCAGCATGCTTTGTCAGCTCAGGGTAGGTGTGGCCAGCTTGATGATGGCCGTATAGGGTCCACATCCCCCCCATCTGAATCAGAAGCTCAGGGGTACAGCCCAGCAGTCTGTGTTTAAACAAGATCTCTCACTCCAGGGAGATCCTGACACAGGTTAAAAGGGACAGTGCTGCCCAAGGGGCCAGGCTCTGACCTCCAACCTGTGCATGGCAGAGGCTCCAGAGAGCACCCTCTTGGTGACAGACACCCAGGTACCCCTGTTTCCGGTAGATCAGCCTGCACCAGAGCCAGCCCCCTGAAGCACTGCTATGCTCTGAACCACTCAAGCCTGGGGATCTCCCGGGCGGTTCAGTAAATGCAGGAGATGTGGGAGACGCGTGCTCAAGTGCTGGGTGGGGAAGATCTCCTGGAGAAGGAAATGGCTACCCACTCCAGTCTTCTTGCCTGGAGAATCCCATGGACAGAGGAGTCTGGCAGGCTACAATCCATGGGCTCACAAAGAGTCAGACCTGACTGAGTCACTGGTCACAACAACAGCAAAAAATAAGGGAGGAGGCTGGCGGGGAGGGATTTGGAGAAAATAATCCCGGAAGGTTCCATGAAGCATCTTCTGTCCCGTTCCGGATGCAGATTCATCCCATAGACAAAGGAGAATCATTGCTTGGATTTAAGCAGAAGAACAAAGGACTAGCTTCTCATTTTTAAAAGACAACTCTGGTGATAATGCAGCCCACTGGGAAACTGTTGAAACAGTCTGGACAGAAAAAAAGACTTCTATTTTTCAGGCTAGGAGTGTCAAGGATGGAGGCCAGAGAATGGGTCTCAGACATGGTTATAGGGATCAGTGGACATTCTTCAGAACCAAGCAGCACGTTGCCAGGGCAAGTGGGAGAAGTCAAGGTGACTTTCTGGGTTTTGGCATGAGTTTGAAATGTAAGAAAATCCCAACTGACATTACCTTATGTTCTCACGTTATCAGAACCTGTCTAGCAGAACCCTGGGCTTTCTTCAGTTTTATGTCTCTTGTCATAAGCTCCCGTGTCTCTTGTCTGCGGATCCCAAGCAGTAACGACGGGCTCAGTTCAGTCCTGAATAAATGTCACTGGAAGCCTCTGTCATGGTGACTCATTCTGGGTGACTCTGGATATATTATATCACGTCCACCAATCTTACTTTTTAGGAGAAACGGAAACCAGGATTAAAATTAAAAAGTGATTTTTGGACATGCCGAACAGAAACAATCTTTTAATAGACTGTGCAGTATCCAAATATTTGAAAATTCATATTTCACCGCACTAAACATTTGTCAGGCTCCCCTGGTGGCTCAGCTGGTAAAGAATCTGCCTGCAATACGGGAGACCTGGGTTCCATCCCTGGGTTGGGAAGATCCCCTGGAGAAGAGAACAGCTATAGAGTTCACACACTCTTCTTAAAAACAGAGATGTGTGTGTTTCATCTTTGTCTTTCTCCTCACTTCCAGCCCCAAGAAACTTGCCTCATGCATAGTACATGCTGAATAAACATTGCTATTTGCTGATCTTGTAAATAACTTGGAAAAATAGAAAGACTGCCTGAGTTTCTCATCACATTTTGCTTCTCCAAATAAGACACTATTCTCAGAAATGTCTTGACAGAAATTCTTAATGCCAGCAGGGTATGTCCTTACCTCTATACTACATCTATACCAGTTAGAAATTCTGTAATCAGGGCCATGTTGGCATAGCCTGTGTGTTTAACAGGCCTCATCTCTTAAGCGATAAGAACTGTTTATGAAAAATGAACGCATTTGTATCCATGTCATGGTTTATATTTTTAGACAAAAACTAAGTCCTGCATGACTCCTGTTTTTCAGTTTGATTTTATTTCAGCCCAAACTTGTAAGTCATATCTTCCCAATGAGGACGTTTGAGTAACCCCTTCACTCACACTGGTCTCCAAGGTCTTTCAAGATGTTCTAGAGGAGGCTAATCATTGAGAAACAGGTGTTCCTGGTACTGACTCCTGTTTTCTCTGAACGGAGACTGTGTTTGTCCACATTTAGTTAAGGTGACATGGCCTAGTGGCTGGTACTCTGCACCAGGCTCAGTTCCAGAAACAGGAGGAAGGGTGAAGAAGGCGAGGCCATCCCTGGGGAGCTTGGAGCCAAGTGGAAAAGATGCTCATTCAAGGATGCTCCAACCAGGTTCTTTTGGGGATTTCCAGGAAGGCTTCCTGGAAGAAGTGCCTGCCAAGCTGAGTCTTGATGGATGAGCCGAGAGTTTCCAGGCCTGAGGCAGGTACAGGACTCCAGGCAGAGGGAACCATGGACAAGGGCGCCTGTACACTTGTGCTTTGAAGGACAGAGGGCTGAGTTCCTGCGGAGGAGTCAGGAGATTCATGTGACTGTAAGACAGGAGTGTTCTGGAAGCAAGCGGTGAAAGCGGGAGAGCAAGCTGGAGTCGGGGGCAAAAGGACCTTGTGTGTCTTCTGAGAAGACTGATCTTTGTCCTGTGGCTGAAGAGAAACTGTCCACTTGCACACCGGGGAGTGGAACAGTCTTTCTTTAAGACATACCGAAGAAAGCACAGAGAATGGATTGGAGCCGGAGAGGCTGGAGGCAGGGAGACCGATTAGAGGCTGTGGCAATAAACAAGGGAGTCAAGTTCAGCTGAGGCATGGTGGGCCCAGCAGGCAGGGGGCAGAGGGGCTGGGAGAGGCGGAGGTTTAGGTGCATCTGGGGGTAAAATTGGCGAGAAGAGGTTGTTGATCAAACGTGAAAACTAAGGGAATGTGGACGACAGAAGACAGCTACAGGGCTTCTCATTAGTAGCTGCAGGGGATATTGCCTTTAATTTAGGAAAGGAATTTTCCAGCAAAGGGAACAGGAACAGAAGTGAGAGTGAATGCGCAGAAGGCCCCAGCCCATCACTGCCTTTAACACCAAGGCGCCCATGATGGAGACTTTAAACCAGGAGATGATCAGAGAGAAGCTCCTAGCTCTCTCTCTCTCTCTTTCTCTCTTTCCTTTGGAAGCTGAAACAAAACACAGACCAAAGTTTTAGGTGAGCAAAAAAACCCAGAAAACGAAAAAGATTCGGAATATGTCCGAGTGTGTCAACACCGCCCCATGGGAAGCAGCCGGGACCAGCCAACGGCCTGGGATGTTCTGGACAGTGAAGCTCCCCGCGGCATTTCGGTGCTGGTCTTCCTCAAAGGCTGAGCTGGCTTTTTGAAGGGCTTATCGATAATATGAATTAAGCCTTATGTTGGACTATTTTACTAAAGTTTGAAGATAAAAGGATCCGTGGTTTGTTAGGAGTCATTTCTCCTGCTCCCATAGGTACCCTTGTGATGGAGCACTCTATGTTACCTTCTGGCAAGCAGCACGTTCAGATTGTCTTTTATACTGAGGTATAATTGACATTAGTTATATTAGCTTAGGGCTTCCCTTGTACCTCAGTTGGTAAAGAATCTGCCTGCAATGCAGGAGACCTGGGTTCAATTCTTGGATTGGGAAGATCCCCTGGAGAAGGAAACGTCAGCCCACTCCAGCAGTCTTGCCTGGAGAATTCCATGGACAGAGGAGCCTGGTGGGCTACAGTCCATGGGGCTGCGAGAGTCGGACAGGACTTAGTGACGAAACCACCACCACCATATTAGTTTGAGGTGGACAACATGATGATTTGATGTGTGTGTATGTTGGAAAATGACCACTCCATGAAATCTAGCTACCATTCATCCCTAGACATACTTATGGATTTTTTTTCTTCTTGTGATGAGAACTTTAAAGATTTGCCCTCTCGGCAACTTCCAAACACACAGTGCAATACTGTCGACTACAGCCGGCAGGTGGGGCCTTCCATCCTATGGCTCATTCTGCTCATAACTGAGGTCTGGGCCTTTTTGCCCCTCACTCACTTCCTCCTGGCTCCCGCTGCTTCTGGCAGCCACCCGTCGGTTCTCTGTCTATGAGCTCGAGCTTTTGGTTTGCTTGTTTTCTTTTCAAAAAGCCCACGGTGAGACAAAAACCCACAGTCTCTCTCCTGGCTGTTCCGGGTCTTCCCCGCTGCACGTGGGTCTCCTCCAGCAGCGGCAGGTGAGGCCCCTCTGGTTGAGGTGCGCAGGCTTCGCAGCTGTGGCTTCTCTCGGTGAGGAGCACGGGCTCTCGAGGGCAGGCTCAGGAGCTGTGACGCGTGGGTTTCCTTGTCCTGTGGTGGGTGCGATCTTCCCTTACCTGGGATCGAACCTGTATTCCCTGCGTTAGCAGGAGGATTCTTATCCTCGTGACCACCAGGGAAGTCTGAGCTTGAGTTTTTGTCTTTTTTTTTAGATTCCATATGTAAGTGACATTTGTCTTCCTACGTCCAACTTGTTTTACTTAGCAGAATGCCCTCGCGTCTGTTCGCGTATCTGTAAATGACAAGATTTCCTCATTTTCTTATAGCTCAGTAATATTGTTGTGTTTATGTGCCATATCCTTTTTATCCACTCATCCATCAGTGGACACTTAGATGGCTGCTATATCTTGGTTATTGTAAATGCTGATGTTGACATGGGGGTGAATATATCTTTGTGAGTGAGTGTTCCCGCTTTCTTCAGATAAACACCCAGAAGTGGAACTGCCAGATCCTGTGGTAGCTCTAAGTTTTTGAGGAGTCTTCATACTCTCTCCCACAGTGGCTGCCTCAACTTCCGCTTTCCCCACATCCTCACCAACACTAGCTATCTGCTATCTCTTTGATGACAGGCATCCGGACAGGTGTCAGACGCTATCTCATTGGGGTTTTGATTTGCATTTTCCTGATACTTAGTGATGCTGAGAACTTCTGTGTGTCTGTTGGCCACCTGCATATCTTCGGGGAAATGTCCATTAAGATCCTTTGCCCATTTTGTGATGAGATTTTTTGTTTTATTTTTAATTTTTCTTTAAATTAACAATTTACTCTTTAGAAAATCATCTAACTAAAAAGGTGACAGCAGGACTTCCCTAGTGATCCAGTGGTAAAGAATCTGCCTGCCAATGCAGGGAACATGCATTTCATCCCAGGTCCAGGAAGATCCCACATGCCTCAGAGCAACCAACGAAGACCCAGCACAGCCACAACATGAAAATAAAGTACATTTTTTTAAAAAGTAGCACAGTCCACCCCACAAGTCATCAAACAATCAAAAAGGTCAACCTTCTGGCTTCATCCTCTTGTCCTTTTCTACATCGTATTTATTGACCATTCCCTGCAGCGTGCCCTTCGTTAGGATTTTACAACACACAGATTTGCTCCTGTGGAAGCAAAGCACGCGCAGGGCACGCCGGCCACTTAACGCGTCTCATCAAGGATGCTCTGGTCCCCTCCAGCCTCCGAGAGCTTCGTCTTGTGTGGCTCCATCCGGCATCGTCCCCTGACTAGACCATCATATTCTGATTTTCTTTTTTTTGACTGTACCACGTGGCGTGTGGGACATTATTTCTCCCGACCAAGGACAGAACCTGCGCCCCCTACATTGGAAGTTCAGGGTCTTAACCACTGAACTGCTAAGGAAGTCCTTTTACTATCACATTCTTAACTGCCATTTGCTGGATGCTTCCGTTGCTTCCGATTGTCCCAAGTACAAATGAAGCCCAAGCAATCACTTAAGACGAAGCTAACACTGTGCGCCTGGGCCCCTAACCCTCGTGGCTTATGCTCTCTGTCCCCAGCACGGCCTCACCGCCTTCCCACGCAGGCCTTCCTGAGCCGGAAACTCTGCCGAGAACTGCCAGCGGGCCCCACCAGAATCAGCGTGGTGATGGGGTGAGTTTGCTTAGAGAATAAGGATTCACGTGTCAAGACAGGTGAGTTGGCAGACTGGCCCCGGCGGGGTCCCCAGTGGTACAGGAGGGGACGGGGGTGATGGGCCCTCCATCAAAGGTGAATGAACTCGTCTCCTTACCACCTGAGCCTGCTGTCTGGAGCCGGGCCCTGGGGAAGGGCCATAGATCCAGCCGTAGAGCTGGATCAAGGGTGAGAGGTGGATGGTTTCCAGAGACACCAGGGTGGGAGGGAGGTCACCCTCCAGGTCACTGGTGCAGCCCAGCTGTCAGCACCAACATGGACAACCCGGGTATAGACAGAGAGGGCTGGTGAGGCCGCGTGTCCTGACTGCCGGGACCCCCAAGCTGCCCCACGGAGGGGAGCTCAGCCCTACAGGGCCAGCAGAGGCCAGTACCTCCGGGGAGTGGTGTGGGTGGGAGCTGCTCGACGACCCTGGAACCACAGGCCTGAGCAAGGGTTGTCGGGATGGAGAGGTGAAGACAGACAGACCCACATTTCCGGGGAGACTCTGCAGGGCAGGGTGTGTCCCACACAGGTCTCTTGAAAAGAATCGGCCAATGTCTTCCATCAGGCTCTGCAAAATCACCTTGGCGTTTCCTTCAAAATATGTTCAACGCGTGAAAAGAAACACAAGTCGGAAGGTGTCTGCTGTCGCCTTACCAACCCTGGATGTTGACATGGGCAGCCCAGTGCTGCTCCATCTGGCCTGAATCCACACTCTACGCCCTGAGGCTGGACTGCCCAGGTGACCCCAGATGGGGACAAGCGTGGACCGTGGGAGCTGGCCCCCCATTCTTGCTTGCAGACACCAAGGAAGGTCCCATCTTCCTGCCCCGGAGCCTAAGAAATGTTGTCATCATTGTTCAGTCGATCAGTCATATCCCACTCTTTCCAACCCCATGGACTGCAGCACCCCGGGCTTCCCTGTCTGTCACCATCTCCCGGAGTTTGCTCAAACTCACATCCACGGAGTCGGTGTTCAAGAAACATGGTGTGTTTGAAAGTACTTTCCTAAATCCTTATTCTGAGCAATGAAAACTGAAAATGTGGGTGAGGATCCAGGATCTGAAGCAAGGGAAACATCCGCCTTTGCACTGCACTTCTGTTCCCCGCTGTAGGTCTAGCTGTGTTCACTGGCAGCTCACATGAGCTAAATACAGGATTTGGAATAACTGGAATACAGCTGTCTTACAATCTCTGTCATCAAATAGAGGTTTGCGATCGCGTTCAGAGGGGCTGTCGGACTCTCTGTTCAAGGACCGTGTGTGACTCTCTGCGATGTTCCTGGCGCCTCTCCTGCTTGGCTTCTCCCGGCGATGAGACTCTGTGTGAAGGCGCCAGGCACCTGGGGCTCCCCGGGGTCAGATCCCCGTCAACCAGCCCACACCTCCCCCAGGCCGAGTCAGACCACGGCTCACACGGCACCCAGTTCTCCGTGGAAACAGCCGGGCACCCCAGCGCCAGTGACAAAGGATGCGCACGGCTCCGCTCAAGTCTCTGCTCCCCCTGGATTTGCATTCCTGACAGCGAGCCTCACAGCGATTCCCCGTGATTTTCTTAATCCTGACATTTCCAGCACATGGCAAAACAGAAAGGTCATAAGCTGGCTAATTTTAAAATAGTGTTTTGATCACTTATCTTGCTGGAGTGTCAAACACAGGGCTGGCAGAACTGATACATGCTTATTACCACCTTTGGGTTCCTGAAACCAAATCGAGTCATTTGAAGGCCTGTCTTGAGCGAGCCCGCAGACGGCCATCAGTCAGCGGCCTGGCCATTTAGAACAGTCCCCACCAAGGGCCGGCTGCTGAGCACTCATCGGTCTAACTGCTGCTTTAGAAACTTTGGTATTTCTTCTTGGAAAATGGTGTTTGGGGGTCAGCATGATGCAAGGAACAATAATAATAATTTATTAGACACTTGCTATGTAGGGGGTTTTAGCATGAACTATTGAGTGTAGCAACTCACTTCTCACCCCTTCGGCTGGCAGGTACCCTCGCGATCTGCATTTTTTTAAGGTTGGAAAAAGCCACGGGGCGGGAGGTGCCAGGCGGAGAAGGGAGGGTTTGCGTCTCCCGTGGCCAAGAGGCTCCATGAAGCGACCCCTGCTTGTTGCTCCTCCATCTCTACTGTCTCCTCTTAAATTAGAACAACAGAAAGCTGGGACAGCTCTTTATTTTGCACAAAATATTTTTCCTTTATGGACAGTTGGGACGAAAGGGAGCACAGGACGCCCTGGGGCCCCCAGCCTGAGTCTCTGGCTGCACTGAACGCGTGGGGCGCGGGGAAGGGGGCATTTAGCCCCATCGTAAAGTGAAAGTCACTCAGTCACAGCCAAGCCTTTGCAGCCCTACGGACCAAGCCTTCCCTGCGATTCTCCAGGCCAGAATACTGGAGTGGGTAGCCGTTCCCTACTCCAGGGGGTCTTCCCAACCCAGGTCTCTAGCATTGAAGACGGATTCTTTACCAACTGAGCCACAGGGAAGCCCAAGAATACTGGGGTGGGCAGCCTGTCCCTTCTCCAGCGGATCTTTCTGACTCAGGAATCAAACCGGGGTCTCCTGCCCTGCAGGTGGATTCTTTACCACTGAGCTATCAGGGAAGCCCCAGACAAGTGCAACGAGGCGTAAGGTGTGAGGTGACCTGCAAAGTCACACAGCTCGAGAGACCGCCAGGGTTTGAGCCTGGAACACCTGCCTGCCAGGCTTCGCTGCTCTTAGGGTCTGAGTGGACAGCTGGCGGAGGGGCAGAGGGGCAGAATGTCCGTGTTACGAGAAAACTCAGAAACGCGCTACAAAGAGACCGAGCACGATCAAAGCTTCTTCTGGAGAAACGCCTGTTTTGATGGAGAGTTTCCAGCTGCCTCTGTCCTAACTCTTGGCCTCAGCTTTGGGGGCAAGGGCCAGAGTGAGATCGTGAGGAAGACTGAGTGATTATAACCAATAGGCGTGGAGAAAGATGCACCATGGCATTCAGTTGCTGCAGCGACTCTACAGCTCCTGGCCTTTGCAAACGAGGGACATGGGGCTGAGAAATGCCCGCCCCTATTAGAGAGGAGCACAGCGGCTCCTCCTTGCCAGCCTTCTCGCTGCCCATGGCTTCCTGGGGGTTCCCCAGGAACCCTCAGCACCCCAGGTGCTGAGGCAGACCCCCTAGGAGAACCCAGCCGAGGGCGGGCTCCCTAACCCAGGTCCCCTCCCTGACCAGGCCCAGGCGCTGGCCTTGCCTTGGTCTCCTGGCATGGCCAGCCCCGGGAATCCACCCCGAGTCCGTGGGTCTGAGTTCCTGTCCTACATCCTCTTCCTTCTCACCTGCCGCTTCTCCAGGACCCCACAGCCGGAAGCAAATGGTCCATCCCCAGGGACACCCTCAGGATTTCTAATCCTGGCCCTTGTTGGCCCCCCCCTGCATATTGAAGCCCCTGCTCTCTCCTATCCACCCAGGCCAGCCCCACCCCCAGTGACCCTGGCTCCCCAGGCCTCCATGACCCAGGATCGTTCACTCAGGCCCTTGACAGAGGTCCCGTGCTCACGTTATCTATCTCATTTGTTGGTGAGCAGCGATTCCCCTGCTCCCAGCCCCCTCTAGTCTCTGTTTTTGCGTAAACAAAAAGGCTTTCCCATCTCACTCAGAAGAAAGCCTCTTTCTCCTTCTTATAATTACAACTGTGATGATCACTGTCTCGCAGTAGGAATCTGTTTATTCCTCCATGTAAACCTTCTTGTCTTGCCATCTAATTTCCATTCACAGTGAAAAAAGATACAAGCACATTTCTTTTCACCCAAACCTTTAAAAAAAGGTATCACTTTTATTTCTTCTGAATGTTATTACCTCTGCGAATCACATCATTACTTTCCCTTACTTTTCTTAACAGATGAGAAAGTTCAAGTCTCTGTAATTACAGACTGGGTCCCAAATGTCACAACTTCAGATCACCCATCACTGGTGTATCCTGGCACAACCCACACTTTTCTCGGGAGAGGTGCATTGGTCAGGATGGTCCTGGCAGTGATTTGACGGCACCTGGAGCAGGCCAATGGTTTGAAGAGACAGGGTCCTGGGTTTGTAAAGTGAAAGTGTCTGTGCCAGTCAGCTTCCCAGGTGGCACTGGTGATAAAGAGCTTGCCTGCCAATGCAGGAGACGTGAGGGAAGTGGGTTGGATCCCTGGGTTGGAAAGATCCCCTGAAGGAGGAAATGGCAACCCACTCCAGTGTTCTTGCCTGGGAAATCTTATGGACAGAGGGGCCTGGGGGGTACAGTCCACGGGGTCACCAAGAGTCGGACACGACTGAAGAGACTTAGCACACACATGTGTGCCAGTCAGCGGGATACACTCAAAACCCAGACAGTCCTTTGCCAAGGAAGGAAGAAGTGCTGGGTTTGCTCTGGGCTTTGGTGGAATGTTCTCTGCCATTGCAACCATGCTGATTCCTGGGGACCCCTTCCTGCAAGCAGTCTGACGGACTCCAGGTTAATGAACGGAAGTACTGGTGATTCCCAAAGACATGTCACTACTGTGACTGCCAATAGCAGAACTGCTTGCCCGTCCCCTGGAGCCAGGCACCAAGCCAGGGCATGGCCGTGCTGATCGAGAAGGGAACCCCAAATGCCGGGCATTCCTTGCGGACTGAATGCTGGTGTTCCTCTCAGATTCCCACACTAACATCCTAACCCTAGTGAGGGTGTTAGGAGGGGGGACTTTGGGGAGGTGACAGATCATGGGGGTTGGGCCCCTCTGATGGGATTCATGCCCTTATAAGACACCCCCAGAGCCCTCTGGCCCTCTCCCCACCCACTTGAGGACACAGGAGAAAACTGTCAGCTGCAACCTGGAAGGGGGGTTCTCACCAGAACCCTGCCATGCTGACCCCCGGATCTCAGACATCCAGTACCCAGAAGTGAGAAGTAAATTCCATGGCACTTTGATTATAACAGCCCCAGCTGACTGAGATAGGATGAAAGAAACCAGGGCTCAGAGAACTGAAACGACTGTCCTGGATCACACAGCTGGGTGCCTGAGCTGGGATCTGAAAGCAAGTCTATCTGATTAGCTGACAAAGGTCCAGATAGTCAAAGCTATGGTTTTTCCAGTAATCATGTGTGGATGTGAGAGCTGGACCATAAAGAAAGCTGAGCACTGAAGAATTGATGCTTTTGAATTGTGGTGTTGCAGAAGATTTTTGAGAGTCCCTTGGAATGCAATGAGTTCAAACCAGTCAATCTTAAAGGAAATCAACCCTGAATACTCATTGGAAGGACTGATGCCGAAGCTAAAAATCTAACACTTTGGCCACCTGATGCAAAGAACTGATTCATTAGAAAAGACCCTGATGTTGGGAAGGATTGAAGGCAGGAGGAGAAGGAGGTGACAGAGAATGAGGTGGTTGGATGGCATCATCAAGTCAACAGACACGAGTTTGGTCAAACTCTAGGAGATAGTGAAGGTCAGGGAAGCCTGGTGTGATGCATGGAGTTGCAAAGAGTGGGACACAATTTAGCGACTGAACAGGTATCTGAGCTGATGCTGCGCTCTGTTCTGTGAGGTCTCCCCACCTCCCCTCCCTCAGCGAGTAGTGAGATTCGGAGAAGGAAAGTCCGGGAGGCTGAAGTTGCTGGAGAAGTGGCTGGTGCCAGGCAGCCTTGAGCCCAGGCCCCCTTTCGTTCCTGTCACACGTCCTGCAGTTCAGCATCCCGAGCTCAGAGCAGCAGGTGTAGCAGCCAGCTACCGAGGTCCGGAGCCCGGCCCCAGACCCAGCTGGCTCTGACTCAGGCCCTCGCTCAGCTGACTGTGGACTTGACCCTGACCCTCTGTAGCCGTCACTGTCATCAGAACTGCACTGCTGTCTCCGCACGCAGAGACACCCCAGGACCGCCTCCCTTCCTCCCAGAACCGCTCCTTCCCCTCACGGGAGCCCCAGCACCTTGTCTCACAGGTAACCGCCAGAGATGGGAGGTCCACATCCTTCCCAGGTGGCCCTAGTGGTAAGGAACCTGCCTGCCAAAGCAGGAGACATGAGAGATGCAGGTTCCATCCCTGGGGTGGGAAGATCCCCCGGAGGAGGAAATGGCACCCCACTCCAGTATTCTTACCTGGAGAATCCCATGAACAGAGGAGCCTGGCGGGCTATGGTCCATGGGGTTGCAGAGAGTCAGACAGGACTGAAGTGACTTAGCACTTAGCACGCATCCTCACAGAAAACTCACGTAGGTGGGAGAGGGGGTAGTTCTGCCTGTAGGTCTTTTCTCCCCTTTTTCCTGAAGTAACTGGTTTAACCTCCCCCAATCCCAACTTCCTGCCAACCTTCTCTCTGATTCTTGATGATGATGCTAGAAGTTCATGTGGAGTCCCTTGCTCAGGACTGCCTTTGCAGGTATAACCTGTCTTTTCTGACCCTTATTGTTTTATGCACGTTTCCTAGAAGATGCTTTTTACACCAGAGTTTTTAGGTGACCAGATCCTCAGGGGTGTTGAACATCAGCCCAGATGGACAGCATGCCTGACTCCCAGAGATGAGCACAGTCTGACTGGTGGGCAGGGGTCTCCTCAAGTGGGGAGCACGAGAGTACCTCTGTTTGTGTGAAGGACCGCTGGATCTCGTTAGGTGGAGACAGACTGTGTTTGCTCTGTACAGAAGTGCCCAATGACGAGTGCATGTGGACTCACAGCAGCTAAATGGCTGCACTGCACCGGCAATCACAGCTATCTCCCAGCTGCAAACCCACTCTCCTGTCCTCTCCTCTATGATGCTGCAGCCACACTCTTCCAACCTCACTTCTGACTCTGCAGCTGGCTCAGTAGTAGGCTTTGCCAAGAGGACAGACCATCAGACTGGAAGAGGAGGAAGGGGATCACGCTCCAGTTGGCTTCCTGTTTTCTTACTATTGCTAGTCTAGTGTGCTTACTATGAATGTCATCCTCGCAAGAAGTCTTCCCAGTGGACTTCCCGGAAGTTTCCTGTAGATGAAAACAGCTTGCAGCCTTTCCCAAGCCAGCAGCATCAGCCCAGTACACCCCCCATACCCCCTCACAGCCCTGGGGCTCAGCCCCGCAGCGACTCTTCTCCAGCCAGCCAGCACCCAGCTCTGAGGTCTGATGCTCAGCTCTGAGGGAAGTGCTCTCTTGGCTCAAAGTTTTAATCGCCTCAGCCTCTCCCTTGTCCTCCTCTGGTAGTGGTTTCAGCAGTTACCGCCTCTGTGACACTTCAGCATTGCATGTTTACTGGACCTAGTTAACAAATTTATATTAAATTATTCCTGTTTAGTAGCCGGTACAGTTTTTGCTTCCTGATCAGTCACCAACTAGTATTCAGTTTCACAAAAATTCCTCCTGCTAAGAGGGGTGGAGCCCAGCAGAGAAGGACACGGGCTCCAGAGCCAGGACCCTCAGTGGGCCCCGGCAGTGGCCCTGCAAATGTGACATACACTTCCTGTTCCCTGATGTTCTAGTTCATGAAGCTGGGGTCTACTTCAGAGGCTTGTTCTGGGGATTAAGGCAGTTAAAAGATACAGAGGACCAAGGAACACGAAGACCACTAGATGAGCATGTAAACTTTAAAATAACAGCGCTTAGTCACTCAGTCGTGTCTTATTACTATTATTATTATTGCCTTGGGAGAGTGATAAAAAAATAATAAAAATGCTGGAGGGTACTCTTCCAAGAGTCTCTCAAGGGACTCTTGAAGTGGTTGGATGGCATCACCGACTCAATGGACATGAGTTTGAGCAAACTCCAGGAGCTGGAGATGGACAGGGAGGCCTGGCGTGCCGCAGTCCATGGGGTTGCAAAGAGTCGGACACGGCTGAGCGACTGAACTGAACAGAACTCTTCCAAAAATAACCCCCAAGTCTTACCTCCTAATAATAAACATTATTAATATACTAACATCAATGCAGACTTTTTGACTTAAATACAGATAGAATAGAAACTATGCATACGGGAGAATAGCATTTTACCTCAGCAGAATCATAATATACAACACTGTTTTATGAGTACATTAAGTTTGATTTTACTAGGCTTAAACCAAAAAGAACAGAGGCAAAGTCGAGGAAATTTCTGGTTTTTAGATAAATATCTCTATATTTTACTTCCTACAAGATCCCCCTACGATTTTAAAAATAACAACATTATGAAAAATATCTAGGCTCTAGTCCTTTGCTTAGACAGAGTTTCCATTTTACTCAAACAGTTGACTCACTTTACTGGGAGAAGAGATTTAAAAGGCCCAGGGTTTCACCCACTCACCTCATTCCGGGCTTGTCAGCACGGGTGTTATTATCTTGATTGCTATTGTCAGGGTTTAGAAAACATTCTGTTCCATAACTACAGTTCTCACAGGTGTTTATTATCAGTGCTCCCGCAAAGCCCTTGTACCACAGGTTTTCCATCCCCGAGAGTCCTATTTTTATTCATCTCTGTTCTCGAATCCATGTCAAACAGACATTTCCGGAGGATGAACAGTTCCAGTATTCCCGAGGAAACTCCAAGCCGGGAGACAGAGCGGCTGGTCCCTGCACTGGGGGCATCACGGTGGACCAGGTCCGTGCTGGACGCGGGCGCACCTCCTTCACTCATCAGCATTTCCTTAAAGTGACCTCGAAAATGTCTCACGGCGAGTCCAGCGCGGGTCCGCTTGCAGCGCCCTCTGTCCAGCAGCCTCACGCTGTTACAATGAACCCTTCCTTGGGTTGGGCCTTAAAAACAGATGGTGCAGGTGCCCAGCGCCATGCCTGCGGCTCCAGGAGGAGGTGCCCACCCCAGGGTCCCCTCCCAGGACCTGCCCCGATGGAGTGTGTGCATTCCGAAAGCCTCCCTCGGGGTGGACACAGGGACCAAGGCCGGAACGAGGCTCTTCACTCCTGCTTGCACCTCCAGGCTCCCCTCTGAGACCATCTCCCCGAATCTCAAGGACCCCCTTTCCTTGCTGGGTGTCTTGGAGGGGGCAGTTCTCATAGAAATATGTTCTCCTAACTTTTGTTTTCCTGAAAGTATCTCTTCCTTTAAAAAAAAAATCAGCTTCATATAATAAAAGGCACTTGAATTAAGTGAACAGTTGAGAGAGTTGACTCTCCATGTATCCACTCCACACTCAGGATAAATGACCCCCGAAAGTCTCTCAACGCCCCTGCGTTGGGTTTCTGGACCACAGCACACCCAGCCCCGGGAAAGCCCGGCTCTGCCTCCCCACACTGGTTTGATGTGCTCTAGGGTTTCACACAAAGGAGATCACTCTTGTGTGCTGGTACTCCGCACTCTGCCATCAGGGCATAAAATCAAATAAGGAAACTAATGAACACAACTGTATTTCAATTAATTCACGCAGACTCACTGAAGAGGGGAAAAACTCACCCAAGAACATTTGAACAAGATGACTTGACTGCGTAGGCTGACTATAAAGGCCAGAAAGAAGAGCCTGTGGACCGATGTTGACCTCTGGTTGGTGAGTTTGTTTTCTCAGTGGTGTGGTTGGCACTTCTGAAATGCACTTCTAAGAAGACAGGACTGTGTGCACAGGAGAGTACCTGAGGGGAGGCGCTCAGCTCCTCGGGTGGTGGAGGGGAATTACAAACACGGGAGCAGGAGCTACGGCCCCTGTTTTGCCTCCGAGCTCGAAGTGAGGTGTGAATATTCACACCTGTTAGGATCCACTTGCCAGAGCACAGAAGCATTCTCAAGCTATTTGTATCAAGAAATACAAAATCTGAGTGTGATTATGAGAAAACATCAGACAAACTCGCATTGAGCATTTTATAAAATAACTTCTCATCCTCTTGAAGGATGTCAAAGCATTGAATCGTAAAAGTGAGAGGTTCTGACCTAGATTAGGGGGAACCAGGCAGCTGGATCTCGGATCTCAGGCTGCAAAAAGCGAAATGAGAGTGAAGGACATTATGGGAACAACGGGAGAACGTTGAATAAGGATTTTTGGATTAGATAGTAACGTCAGATTGATGCAAAATTGCCTAACTTTGAAAATTATACTGTGGTTACATAAAAGAATGACCTTGTTCTAAGGGAATGGACGCTAAAGTGTTTAGGAGCAAAGGAACACCATGACAGAAAATATATGTGTGTGTGAGAGAGATATTTGAGTCATATATGATCATGGAGAGAGAAGGTGCACAAATGATAGTCGGGGAAAAGGAAATAATTGGTGAGTTGGGGTAAAATGTAGATAGGGCGAACTTACTATTCTTATACATTTTATGTTTTTGAAATCATGTCAACAAATGTTCCCTACATGGTATTATCTCATCGTCTTCTGGATCTCATTTCTGAAATTCAGCTTTCAGTCTTATTGTTCCTGTGAAGGTAGGGGTTTTTCTCTCTCTTTTTTTATGTACATGTAATTTATTTTTCTAATTTATTTATTTTTTAATTGAAGGATAATTGTTCTAAAGAATTTTGTTGTTTTCTGTCAAGCCACAACATAAATCAGCCATAGGTATACATATACCCCTCCCGTCTCCCTCTCTTCTCCCCCTTTTAATATTTGCTTTATTTTGCTTTCCAGGTCTTCTGGTCTATGCTTTTCAGAAATGTGAGAATAGTTTGCCTAAGTGGGGTTTTCTTTGTGTCTATCTCGCTCTGGATGTGGAGCGTGTTTTAAATCCACGACATGACATTTTTAATTAGGTTTGGGCCTCTGTAATGGAATGAACTGTGTTCCCCCAAATTCCTATGTCGAAGTCTTACCCCAAATGTGACTGTGTGTGGAACAGCCCTTAAGGAGGTAAATCTATGCTTAAATGAGGTCATAAATGTGGGGCCCTAGTCGTATAGGACTGGTGCCCTTTTAAGGAAAGGAAGGGACATCAGAGATCTCTTTCTTCCCAAGCTCACAGAGGGGAAGCCACGTGAGGACTCAGGAGGTGTGCAGGCCAAGGAGACCCAGCCAGCTGGAGCCTTGACCACGGACTGGCAACCTCCAGAACC